CTCCTCTTCCAAATCCTTTAAAACAGAATCAAGAAAAGTGAAGAGAGCACAACTGTGCACTTAAGGTGTCACTCTGTAATTAGTGAACTATGACTAATGTCACTGACATATGAGGCAAGTTATTTAATTTCTTCTAGCCTTCTCTTAGCTCTCACTTGTTTTCCATTTAGACTATCTAATCTCCACAGCAAGTTTTCTTCCACATTCTGTAGTCCTTTGCATGACCAGTTCGAAAGTTACTGTAACAAACTAAAACGTAACACCATACACAACAGAGAGCTCATCTGCCTTTCACTGTAAGAGTTTAACATTCTCACCACATGCTTTTCACCATGAGGCTATGTGCAGCTTTGTTTCCCCTGGAGAAACCTCTCTGAGATTTTTCAAATGTTGTGACATATACTAAACAGAAAACAGACTGCATCATCTCCTCTAAGAACCAGGGAAAGAAGCCTGTTGCCAGAGTGTGTCCACCATTTTCCTCCACGGTAGCAATGCATGTTTTTGTTAGGGGGAAGTTAACAGACCATTGAAAAAAGGCTGGAGAGTGAGTGGGAATCCCTGGGTAGGGCTGGAAAGCAAAACCCTGGTGAGTCACCTGTAGACTGATGGAAGGAAAGAACAGTTGAGCTATCAGAAAAGTGTGATAAAAACATGAGCAGGACAAGCCAAGAAGAGCAACTACATCTCTACAGAGCTAGGTGGAAAGGGTGTGCCGGATCCTCTGCTTAAGTTAATGCCAACTCGGTTTACGTTAATTTCAGACTGTCATTACGTTGCATTACTTTCCACACCACAACAAATATTCTTTTCTCTGACCAATCCAACTATTCATTCGTTTTCCCAGTTCACATGGCAAGCAAGGGCTTCACAGATCTGAGGCACAATGAAGCTTAACCCAAGTCCTAACTACCTCTGGTTTATCACACTTGTGAGGAGGTAGAAGTTCTCAACACTAGTGGAGTTGCAATTTGAACAGAGAAGGCAGAAGAATTTTGGTTTCATTAACAGCCTTAATACTACTATTTTGTAACTTCTGAATGCCTGCCTTTGCCACCCTCCTATCTACTTTCAAGTTGTAATTATAGTATTTATAGTATACATGATACACACATTTTATCTGGCATTTGCAAGTTTACATTAAATTGGTATAATCACTGTCTCAAATTTTGTCCCTACTTCTATGCAAGAAACCAAGAAGAAAATGTAGAATTGGAGACATTCATCCATTGTCAGAATTATGGGCCAAATAACACATATGTTGGATTTAGTGTTACAAGAGGTAGTTTTAGTGACCAATCATTGGTATAGTTTTTTGATACAACATCAAAATAAGAGTCAGAAGAATATTTGCCAGCCAGATCCTTGGCTGTTGTAATTAATTTCCAATAACCTCTTATAAAATGAGTTGGTCTATATCAACTATACAGATTGATCCTAAACTTATTTCCATGTTATTTGATGCTGAGATGTTAAAACAAGCTTCACACAGCATTAAACCTGAGAAAAACAGACAAAAATGCAGGAAAGAAACAAAAATACGTTCAACACCTCCCTGAACATTCTCTCCTGCAAACAGAAGTCCTTTGTTCTAGTGCCAGACAATACCAAAACTGTGGTCCCTTAGTGGATTCCTGGTGTACATTAACAATAAAGGCAGCGGCTTAAGTTTCTGTTATTAAAATACTTCAAAATTTGCTTCTGGTTTGTTTTTTTTTTTTTCCCTCGTACAACTGAAGTGGACAGCTCACTCCTCCCTCCCAGCATAAGGTAGGCTCCTTTCATGTACCATCCAGGAAATTCAAAAGTCCTCCAACTACTTTTTTTAATCTACAAGAACCTCTTGGAGCAACCACCCACATGACAAATGAATATGTTTACTTAAATCCTTCTGTGTTTTGTGATAGTCTCATTTACAGATATGATTTCCCCAGCAATCAGTGAAATCGCATAGTCTGATAACTTTTAAAATTTCATAAGCTGCCTTACAGAGTGACCTGAGTTTCTTCTGTACCTTTCTAGTTTTTACCAATTTCACCCACTCCTTCTGATGGAGAGGGAGGGAGAGAGAGAAAGAACACTGAATTTGAATGTCTCTACTCCCTGGAGATCAAAAACTTCAGTCTAAGCACCAGCAATCATAACAACTCCAGAATACACAAAGTTTTGAGAAAAATATCTGAGCAACATCTTTTGAAGAACACCTTCATGTACAACTGGGACAACCTTCACAACTGTATAACACTGTGCCCTGGTAAATGCTTAGTGAAATAACATAATCAAGTTTGACTGCATTTTTGTTGTCACAAAAAGTTACAATGAGTGGAAACTAAAAACTCTTAGAAGAAGAAAGAAGTGTTTGATATTAGCACTCTGCTTAGTAACAACTCCAGTAAAAGAGACAGGAAAGAGACACAAAGGTAAAAACAGCCTTGACCCCAGTGGCCCACCTAGTCATCCCAGGTACAGGCATCCCACCTTCACCAGATGAGTCTCAAAAGCACTAATTGCCCCCTCAGAAAAGTCCTCCCTTTGATCTAGTATACCCAATGAGAAACAAGAAACTCTCTCCAAATATTTTAAAATAACACAAGAAGATCCTGGTATTCTGTTATTCCCCTCAGGCAGAGGTGGGTGTAACTGAGAAGGGAAGCAAGCTCTGCTACTTCTGAACATCACAGGTAGCCTATTGCTAAAGGTATATGCACATTAGTTGCTGAAAGCCTAGTTTGTTGGGTGGCTTGTTTAATTGCTTAAGTGAGACTAGTGTATATTTATTTAATTCAGCTAACTGGTCCTGTAAACAAGATACCATTTGCCTTCTCTATGTACAGATGAATTTATATTCAGTATGAGTACTGGCACAGAATAAAACAATGTTCTATGGGCAGGAAATCCAGTCTTTTCTTTTCTCCTGGACTGCTGAAGCATGAAGATATAGATCTAGGGTGTGTAAACAGTTTACTACTGGTTATGAAGATGTAACTTCATTAAACATCCTGGATATTCTGATAGGGAACATGTGTCATGCTTATAGCAGGCCAATATGTTGACTTAAGTGCCCCGACCTTGACATAGTAAGCTACCACTGATTTCAGTCCAAAAATCAAATCCAGATAACACTTCATAAAGGAACTCTTTCTTGTTTATTTTCTAATACTAAATGAGTGAGGATCTCATATATTTAGTGCTAAACGAAAGTGGAAATAGGGGCTGAACTGAAATATTTTGAAAAAAAATGGTACCCTTCAGTTTAGTAAAACCTGAATGGAATATTGTGTTATACTGTCCTATTCTTTCATGGAAATATTTTTAGATTTATAATTGTGGGGCAGGATTTTGATAAGAACCTAAGGGAATTAGGCATCCAGCTGATACCACATTTCACAATTAGGACATCTTCCCAGCTTTGTCTCCTTTCCCTGCTTCAGCAGAAATGACAAACATCAGTAGGGACTGCTGAACTAGTATTACCAAACATGCAGAAGATAATACTGTCCCATTTTAAGCAAAGAAAGTCCTTTCTGCATCTCTACACATTCTAGTACACATAATCCTTTTATTTATTTATTTTTTTCTCCTTCTCCTGTGGCTCCCACAGCCCAGTTATATCTTCCAGGTGTCTCTTGCTAAATCCCCCACTGAGGAACAGCTCTCATTCCGTTTCTTAGGATGAAGATTTTTGGATCCATCAGCTACTTTCTTTCTTGCAGGCTGGCAGGGGCTGAAGATGAAGATGAACTGAGGGCAAATGTTATGTGTATACCAAGTGCTAGACTGTGCATCATTTTTTCCAAATCTAGCTCTTTTAGAAAAATGCTCTCACTAACTTTGAACATTTTTTTCCATCTTTTACAATATTACAATAAAGTCTATTGATCTTGGAAAAAGACAGAAATCTGCCCAGAGCAACTCATCCTACCTATCTCTGATGCCAAGCTAAAAAAAGAAGGATAAAGTGACATGAAGTATGAATACTGTCTGTGTTTATTGAAGTACACATTCATTCCTGCTTTTAAAATGATAATCCAGTAGAAAAGGCCAATGTTCAGAAAAAAAGTATGTTAAACGTTTACTGGTTAGGCTTGTAAGTGTGACTCCATGATTGTGAATGGAATTACACGGGAATGATACTGAAACAATGTGATCATGGTCACAGGTCATAATCAGTCTAACTTTTTTTTTTCTCCTATAAAGCTGGTGTAAGGCTGTCTGACTGTCTGAAATTACTCCTGATATTTTGTACAAGAAGGCAAAATCAGATTATGCAGAGAATTCAGAAGCAGACTTCAAGGTTTATGCCCATCTCTAACCAATATAGGATACAGTCTAGATGAAGCTGGCTTAATGTTCCTCAGATAGGTGCCTAATGCTTGTCAGTGCCACACAGAAGGGTTTCCATAGTATACACTCAGTGTGATAAGTGATAGTGCAGGACCCGTCAAGGTTATGTCTGTCCTTTTTACAAGAAGATTAGCTACCCGAAGAGGCACAGAGTGACTTCTAATGCTAGGTCCCCACATATGAAATAATCCACAACTCCTCAGTCTTCAGAAATCAGCCAGGTTTTTTGCAAAGGAGCTGCCTGGCATCAGCTACAGTATTGAAAAACTTAGAATATTCCTTGCATGCCATCTGCATCACTGTAAAGCAACATCAAATTAAATTTGTTCCAGGACCTGTTATTTATGGAGGAGGAGTTGTGTTCTATTTGCAATCACGTTTCTTTATTAGACTGAACCTTAACAAAATACACGTACAGATATGTATACACTCCTCCCAAAATGCAAATGCCATTGGCCAGTTTCTGAGGAAGGAAAAGCATCCTCTGTTTACCTGTTCACTTGCTAAAATCCCCCAAACCCCACCTTTCTAGATTCTGTGAATCAGTCTGGGACTGAAGCCAAAGTTACCTACTATATAAGACTGAGAGCGCACAGGTGAACTACTCCTCCCGACCAACTTCAGACCCAACATCCTTGTGCCAGACTCCACTCAAGATGGGGTTTGGCAGGAGGATATGGGTACCAGAATGGGCTTTCCTGTTAGCAGTTTGCTGTATCCATCAGATAGGTAAGAAGATCTCTATTTTACTGGAAAAGAAAAAATACTCTGTTTATTTCTAATAATATATTATAAACGACTATATTCATTGTATTGTTTCACTTAACAGATGGCTGCATTTAAACAAGATTTCTTTGTATTTTTTTTCCCCAATTTTCACTAAATATTTAATGTCTATCTACTAACTGGGCTGATTTAATTTAATATTGCCTCAAACTACTGCATGTAACTACATTTGGAAAGTAACCCTGAGGATCAAATCAAAAAGAACCATTATTCACATTTTAAAATGTCAGGTTTTCAGCATTGCTTATGCCTTACAGAAGCATTTTATTCCTGTTGCATTTTGTATTAGGATTGATTATGAATGTTACGGGTTTTATTAAATTTGAAACACTACATTTTCCAGTTGCTGGATCAGACCACTGCTCAATCATTTTTCAGTATCTTGTCACCTACCAGGAGCTAATAACAGATTCTTCAAGATTTCTTGCAATTTCTTTTGCAAAAGAGACTGGAAGAGCATATTCATGTGGCAATGATTTTCAGTATCTAATTGTGCTTTTATAATACCCTATGCAAAATATTTACATAAATTACTAATATTGGGTTGTGAGCAGGACTAGAAGATTTATCTGACACACACAATGCATCGTTTTGTGTGTTGTTTTTTATTTTCTCCCATCAAGAAGATATTATATCCATCAGGACTGGTCTTGGCAGTTTTTATTAATACGAGTAGTCCTACTATGTCAACAGGACCGTTAAAATTGAAATTACTTCCATGAGTACAAGCTTACAATGTCAGTCCCATTCATGCAGAATAATCACTGCCCTGTAAGCTAACATTTTAAAATCTTCAGATTGCCTGTGTACATTCATCTTGCATATCATTTTCAAAACAGTGAGAAGCGCAAATGAAATTTTAGACTGTGAAATAAACACTAAAGTACTGGCAAGTTTATTTAAGCATGAAATACAAGTCACTTAGAGTATAAGCTTACATGTAGTGTTATGCAATATTAGTCAAAAGCATCTTCAGTCATTCACTGAACAAGGAAGGCATTTGTATTGTGCTATACTAATCCAATAAATTGCTTTTGGAAATGAGTAGTGGTTAGACAGTGTCCAGCAAACTCCTCTTTATTCAAATTAGACTCCATGAAAAATATTTTCAGATTACCTGAGTGACTAAAGAATATTGGCCCAGTCCCATGTCATCTCCGCAAATATTCTATGCCTGACTTTATATTTTGGGTCAAATGTAACTTTTATAAATTGATTGTAATGATAATTGCATATGTGGATTGGCAGCTGGATACAGACTTAGCAAGATGCATCCAGAAATATTCTTAATAATTAGGTCAGTTCCCAAATTATCAAATAGTAAATTATCTTGACTATTCTTACAACTGAGAGACACTCATTTTTATAATGGTCAACAATGTGGCATTGTGCAATTGCTAAATAAACCAGTGCAGCTAGAATTTCCTTGGGAATGATGTATTTGCTAAGTAAAGAAAAGCCCCTGCTGTTTCCTTGAGAAAAATTAACAGACCAAAATAGATGTATATAATATTTTGCTCTGTTGCAAAGGCTCTCATGCCAGAATAAACATTGTATGATTCTATACCTGCCGAAATTCCTGTAGATGTGTCGGGTGAGAGAAAATTCTGGCCTATTATTAAAACTTACAGAGGCATTTGTCTCACCCGGCCAGTATCAATTATAATGATATGAATGCTGTTACCTAATAATATTATCTGTGACACTGAAAGACTAATAGGAGAAGGGAAAAGGTTAAACTCTGACCTGAGTTACTCCTTTGTAGAATGTTAGTGGTCACACATGAAGTTAAATGAGAAAAGAATTAAAATCTGAGGTCTGAAAGAAACTGCAGACACTGCAGCAACTTCTAGATATGGTGATGCTGCCCAGAACCCTCTTCTCCAAAGCCAGCAGTCTCTTGGGGACCTCTTTGGGAGTGGGTGCTTGAATCCCTTCAGACAGGCATCCATCAGCTCTGGGATCAAGTATTCAATCTGATTACATGGTGGGCACAGCCAGAAGTTATATTAAAAAAAGAAAAATTTTAAAAAAGGTGCTCCTGATAGGGTAATTTTTAAGGCAAAGGTAGTTGTCCAGCTTTCATGGCAGTATCTGGGCTGAGGTTCTTAAGTGGAGGAAATACTCAGAAAGAAATGTAATCACCAAAGGGGACTGGGTTTTATGGCACACCTCTGACTTCAGCATTTCCCCTTCTTCCAGCAATTCCCTGTTCAGTGAGATGAGTCTAGTTCTGAGTCAGTGAATTCTTTCCACTTATAAGGAAAAATGGGGCTTAATTTAGGACTAAATTACATAGGCAGTTCCTCTTTGACTGAGAAATTATTTACATACCAAGAGTGCTCCTTCAGATAATCCTGACCAGGATTCAGATAATTAGTCATTTCATCACCTAAATCCTTTGAGGATTTAGACTTGGCAGGTTATAGGCATATGTTAGTCAACATGTTCCAAGCACAGTTATCACATGCTGACAGGATTGGGACCTTCACAAAATAAAGTTATAACCATTTTCTTTTACAGGAAATGCCTGTCATTTTTACTTACAAAAGACAAGAGTTTAGAGCACCAACCTAGGAGCTCAGGGTCAGTCCTTTTCTAGGCTTGAAAGTGTCCATGTCAATATTTGTCATCTCTTGAGTCTATGCCAATACCTCCTCTGGTCTGGTATTGTCGGGCCATGCATGGAAGGGAACACAGGGAGTCAGGATAGAGAGAAGGAGAACTCACCTGGAAGACAGTTCATGTAGTTGATCCAGTAACCATTTAACTGGGGGTACAAAAATAATCCCTGAATCAAGGCACAGGGACAGGACACTTTTGAGGTAGCTGAGTGCCCTGATTCACATGCTCACACGATCACGGCCTCGTTTTTCCTGCTTTGTCACGGTTCTACTGTTTTCAGCACTGTGTCTCAGCTTCAGGTGGAGTAGGAGGAACCCTCAGTCAAACAGACTTACAGTATGATGCTTAAGGTTTTCTGCAAAGAATATGTGAGTTTGAACCATCTCAGAGTGAGAAGAGGTGTAGAACAGGAAACCTGGTTCTTGTGGTTACTTCTCCTGAGTTACTGACCAGACTGTGGGCCCCTGTATTCTCACTCAGAGGTACCTTCTTCCATCCAGCTGTAAAGAGAATCTGGATCCCTGAGAGAGGCTTTAGATTTGCTCCAGAAGAAAAGGCCTTGTGGTTAGGCACTAGAGAAACTAGCAAGTATCTGCAGCCATTATTGGATCAAACCTTAAGTCCCTTGTTTCTTTTAATCAGTTCTGTGCCTTTTCTTATTATTACCTCGCTACTACATGGCAATTTTAATAAATGGCTCTCATGTTCTGTGAATCCTTCCTGTAATTGTTTCACGCATTAGTGAGATGTAGTGCAGTGGTCAAATAAGGGCTGTGATCCAGTCATCAGGATTCCTCACAGTGAGTTTTAAGGGAAGCAAAGAAAGCAGATCTACATGAAATGATTTTTTGGATTTCAAACGGTGTATTTGTAACAGAAAGTCTCTTTCTATAATTACACTTTACCTTTTTGGAGGACCTGTTTCATTTTTTTCTGATGTAGTAAAGGACTTTCCCCTTTGTATTACAGAGATGTATCCAGGTCCTTTGATCCTATCTAAATGCCTTGCTTGAAAAGTTCAGATACAGGACATTGTACTTAATATGCTTTTTACAATTTCTTCACAGGAGCCCAGGCTGAAATACAACAGGAAACAGAAAGCAATTACACTGAGGCTGCTCAGCAGAAACAAAACAGTATGTTCATTTATACCATGTACTTGTATTTACATTTATTTGCCACATCTCTACTAAGTAATAAAAATGCCTAAGAAAATCTCCGTAGCATATTGCCAGTAATGTTAAATAAAGATAAATGTGTATTAATAAGCCTCTCTCTCTATAAGAATATTAATTACTTTATTAGATACTAATTACTAAGCACACATAGTATATTTATATTTGTATAATAATAACTAAGAAAACAGATGTGTGTTTGTAGAGGCTGTATGCTGTTTGCATGAATATGTATATACAAAATCAAAGCAGAATATACAGGCAGGATGCTTGGTTCCTTATAACCAGGGAAATAAGACCACTTTGGCAAGCTGTAAAGGCAGCAGCTGATGTTGGGAAATCAAGATGGCAGCCCAGCCTCACTGATTTTTACCATGTAATGTTTGTGACTACAGCGGCCTTGTTGTCATTTCTAAGGGGTTTCAGCCCCTTAACAGAAAAATATTAAACAGAGAGCAAAGGTCATAATTAAAGTTATTATTCCCTCCTTAGAAAGAGGAGGTGTCATGAAAAGGCAGCTATGCTTTTGTACCATTAACAGACTAATTTAGTGCACTTTAACCCTTTGTATCGCCCAGTGTGTCTCAAGGACTTCAATGTGGAGATCTACGAATTTCTGCCTCTCCTAACACAATAGTTTCATAAAAGGATCAAAATGAAAAGGTGGAAAATACAGATCATCGCAGTTGATAGCAATTTCTTATGATTTAACTCTCCTGATTTTGAGTTTTAGTACACACAGTTAACCTGATCCATGGCCTATGTAAGACAAAGCAGGCTTATCATTATTTCATCAGATGTGGCATTATTAACTTTCTAGTCCTTTCTAGGTCAATTTTAAGTGTGAATTTTGGTATTGTTATACTAGTTTTTGTTTTCTTTCTTACTTTTTTCTGGCTTCTGCTACAGTTTCATCTAAGGTGAATATCATCCAGCCAATGCTGACAAATCCAATAATAACACGTAAGTAAAGGAAATTAAATGTATTCAATAAGTTTTCAGGTTTAGGGGATGTAGACAGAGGAATCTAATACAAATAGGGAAAAACACCGGTAAAGGAAGTCATGGATTATTAAGAGGGTGATTAAGAAATATAATAAACTGTTACTTGTTAATAATATTGATAATTTACAATGGTAAACTGTTAATAGTAATGATAATAAACATCTTAGCTGAAATCTGGACCATCAATAAAGCCCTAGCTGAACATAACTATAACCATTTATAGGAGTATGTAAGATGAGTAACAGGTATGAGTGAACTATACACAGTTTTAAAATGGATAGATGGACAGAAACTAACAAATTGAAGTAGTCAGGTGAAAACTGTTCAATGACAAATTGAAGCCCTGGGCAAGTTCATTTTCACCATGTTAAGGCTGGGAATGTTAAGTCATTTTTTACAGCTCATTTTAATTTACAGCTTCCAATCCTGCTCACAATGGCCGTGTGTGCAGCACATGGGGCAACTTTCACTTCAAGACCTTTGATGGAGACATATTCTTCTTCCCTGGGCTCTGTAATTATGTTTTTGCATCCCATTGCAATGCTGCCTATGAGGATTTCAACATCCAGATTAGGCGCATAGTGGTGGAAAATGCTCCAACGATCAGCTATATCACCATGAAACTTGAAGGTGTAGTTGCTGAACTAACAAAGGATGTTATCATGATCAACAGCAACAGGTAAGTTTATTCATAACACATTATTGGTAACCACAGATTTTTTTTTTCAAACTTGCTGAGTACTTTGGTGCATTTGGGGGGAGAAAATTATGTGTTCTTCAATAAATTTGGCAATTTTACTGAATAAATAATGAAGAAGTTGCTATTAATTCCTTTCACAATAAATAAATCTTTCCCTTAAAGATTACCTTGAAAATAAAATTTGGATGAAAAATCCTGAGAGGTGGGATACAAATTCAGATCCATATTTAATGATGTTGGACCATCTTATTTTTTATTGCATCTTTTTTCCACACAAGTCTATTATTTTAGAATCCCTACAGATGATAGATAGCACAAGCCATTTTTTGTCTTTTTATCAAACATCCGGATCATAAAATACATAACATTCTTTCTGCCCTTTCCCAGAGTTCAACTTCCATACAGTCAATCTGGAATTACAATAGTGAAAAGCAGCAGCTACGTGAAAATAGTCAGCAAAACGGATGTTGTGTTAATGTGGAATGAAGATGACAGTATCCTGGTAAGAACTGCTCCTTGACCTGGTTACACCTTCAGATACCAGAGCTAATCTTTGACTAGGCCAATCCCTATCTATTTAAGGGGTTACTATTGCCTTCTTGTCTCATACTGTTGAGCAATTCTTTCTTAATAAAGATCAATTTGCATCCATGTAGTCCCAAAGAAAATTACATGGATTTACATTTAGTGGATACCAGACATCTGTCTAAAATAGGGTAAAAAAATCACTTTCATTATATCATTAACATATTGGTATTGTTATAGGGCCTGCTTAGCCTTCAAATATAGTTTTCTAGCAGAATTTCACTCTCTTAGGAGTTCATTTTTGCCGTGGATTTGATTTTTGCTCTGAAGACTGAATAGAGAGAAAGAGGCTAAGAGCAATATAGATATTACATTGAAAATTAAGTCTGAATCAATAGCATCAATAGCTTGAACTCTGCCCTGTAAATCAAATCCAGTCCAACTCTTCATTCTGTCCCCCAGGTTTGAATTATATTGCTAAATCAAATTACACAGATCTGACGAAAAATACTGAGAGGCAGCAGGTGCAGGTGTTTTCAGTGGGATTTAATATATTTTAGAACATTTATACTAACTTCTAACAACTTACCGTCCACCTTTTTAGCTGGAATTGAATGAGAAATATGCCAATCAGACCTGTGGACTTTGTGGGGACTTCAATGGCTTTCCAGTTTACAATGAGTTCTATTCAAACAGTAAGTCTTCTAAATAATAAAAATTGGTTTCTGGAGTCTCTAACATGCTTTTTTGGTATTCTTTAACTCTAATGTCATCAACATTCTTCTTTCCTACCCTGTTAAATGATTTATCCAGAAGATATGATTCGATCTCTGTTGAAAAATATGTAGTACAGAGATCAGATCATGTGATTTAATACTTTAAGTATAAATACAGCACTGGTGCTAACAACTGATTGCATATTTCTTGCATGTCATGGTTTTATTTATCTAATCAGCTAACCCCATAAAAATGAGCCAGATTTTAACTAATAACATATATAAATATAGAAATATATTTTTTTTAAAAGGCAACTGTATTGTCTAGTAGGTACATATGTTGTTTCAGTTCTGTCTTAAAATTGGTATATCCTCATTTGCCTGCTAATCTGCATAATATTTGTAAGGTCTTATCTTCATCATTCTACCTATTCCTGACTTGAGCTTTTTCCTAAACCTTGTCTCACAGCAGTCTCCACTGTTCAAATCCCTGTTTAGATTCTTTTCTCTCTTCCCTGCATGGGCTCAATATAATCTGAAAACAGTTTGTTATTTTTCTGGTAAAAAAAATTGGTTTCCATTGAATATAAAAGGCTGAGAATTGTTTTCTAATGTTTACTTTTTCCAGGGTGCAGTTCAAGGTAAATTGAGACAGGGATGTAGTGCGTCCTTTGGAAAGGGTGATGATTAAATTTAAAGCTTTAAGGCAGCTAGCTGCCTTGGCTAGTCTTGAGCAGAATTCTTGAGAGGAGAAAAAGATAAGCAGTTGCATTGAACAAAAAAACCCCAACCTTCATTATTAAACTTGTTTTGTACAGATATTAAGATGACAGCCTTGCAGTTTGGGAATATGCAGAAACTGGATGGGCCAACAGAACATTGTGAAGACTCCACTTCTACCCTGCCAGATAGTTGCACTGATCATTTTGTAAGGATCATTATTCTTTTATTTTTCTTTCAAATTTATCTGTACCCTTTGACAGCTTCAGATAGGTCAACAGGAGAAGCCCTTGGGCAGCAGCAACTTAAAGAGGGATATAAGGTTCTATTAAATAATAGTTAAACCAAGTAACAATACCAAAAAATTGATCCCTTCTATTTTCTGAAAGTTGTTTAATTTTTTTTTTTCTGCCAAGGATGACATATGCCAGAAGACATTGACCAGCTCTGCATTTGCAGAGTGCAATATCCTAGTTGATGTTAGAGAGTACATTAGGGCTTGCGAAGATGACTTGTGCCACTCTGAAGAGTCTAAAAATGCCTCATGTATCTGTGACACCTTTGCTGAATACTCTCGGCAGTGCGCTCATGCTGGTGGGCATCCTCTGAACTGGAGAACCTCAAAACTGTGCCGTAAGTAACATGGGATATGACTGGCTTTATGTTCAGTAACTAGCAAGCAACAAGCTCTCAAATGATGTTGAGAATGCATTAGAAATTACAGCCCATGCAAGCTTGTATTCTCCAGAGGGGTTCTGATTACAAGTTCCAGCTTGGAAACTTCAGCAAAAGAGCTAGGGGGTTTAATGCAAACTGCATTAAACATTATCAAACACTTACCTGGATACTCTAATTGTGAGTCAACTTGTTTAATTAACTGGAACTGTAAAGGAAGCAAATAAAAGAGAAAGGATGAAGAATGAGGTGTGCTTGCTTGCTTGTTTTTCTGTTTCTCTCCTTTTCTCAATGGTGGCTACAGCATTTTTTATTCTCAATTATTAACTGATTGGGTCTTCACAGGTGTTTGGCTGGTTAAGCACTTACTTATCTCATTACCTTGCTGTCCCCAGAAATCAGTCATTGAGCCAGTTCGACACCAGTCATAGCAAGCACATCTTAACTGTAAAGTGTGGCTCTAGGTGACTAAATTTGCCAGTTTTGAGAGTTGACAGTTGGTCTGCAGTTTAGTGTGGTTTTACATCTAGCTGAAAAACTTAAGTGAATAGAAATATCTTCATATACAGTGAACTAGAAATATTTTTGACTGAAAAAAAATAATCTCATTGTTTAAAATTTCAGCCAAGAAGTGTCCATACAACATGCAGTACCAGGAGTGCAGCTCCCCCTGTGCTGACACATGCACCAACCCCGAACGATCTCAGTTTTGTGAAGAACACTGTATGGATGGTTGTTTCTGCCCCCCAGGCAAGTTCTTATGTACTCACATTTCTGATCTCAAAGAACAGCAATGGCTTTACCTGCAGGATTTGGACAGGTTCCATGGGGCTTAAGCCTACCATACTTGTGTTTTTCTCAGATGCAAGTGACAAGCATTTGTCATGTCTCAGCTGAGAAAACATATCGGAATTAATTGCCAATACATGTACAATATTCAGAAAGCAGGAAAGCAGAACAGCAAACAGATCAAGATAAGTCTCTCAACAAGCCACCTGTGCTACGATAAGTCCCTCTTTCATAGCCGGTGGAATTTAAGAATGCAAGGGTTGAATCCTTCACTGTGCAAATTGGCATAGTCCTACCGTCCTCAGCATAGGTATGTCCTTTCACCACGGCTGCAGATCTGTCTCTAGAATGATGTCTAGGATTTGAACAAACAAAAACTGTGTATGGAAATGCCCCCTTCACTGATCAAGCTTTTGTCCTTGCTTAAATATAGGGACTGTATTTGATGACATCAACAATTCTGGCTGCATTCCTCGTCAGCAGTGCTCCTGTGTTTACAATGGCAACACCTACGCTACAGGAACTTCTTTTTCAGAGCAGTGCCATTCCTGGTAACCTTTGTTACTCTTCTAACTTACTGTTTCCTCTCATATATTTAATGAGTTTAATGGTTTATTATATGCAGTTGCGTCACTGTTAATTGATATGTGTGTTTAACTGACCACTACAGTTCCAAAATATCCTTAAAGAACATTCTGTGATTTATTTAACAACAGCTTTAACTAGCTTTGCGCTCTAACTCAAGGTGATCAAAGAAAGGATTTACAATGTTTAGATTTCTCACCATTCAATTAAAATGCCTCCTCTTTGTTTATTTTGTTCAAACATTTGGTCTTCTCTAGAGGGGAATGAAGTTGCAGTCATTTATGTATTTGCAAATATTTATTATCTCTGGAGAAAGCAAGGGATGACAAAATACAGCCTTGATTTCACAATTATTAATCCTGTACCCATGCACTACTACATCACCTTAGAAAAAAGATGTACTCTGCATCAGGAGTAGACATGGGGTTACATTTTTTTAGTTTCTGATACATTGATATAACAAAACAGAAGGGATTTTAATCTGTCATTGTGCTTTATGTTAGCTGCAAAACCCAAACAATTACTCATCCCATACCTGTTGCTAGAGAGTTCACCTGTCCAAAGAAGGAAAACAATTAAATAAGCAAAGTAATGCATACCAGAGACATTCCTTTTAATGTGTTGCATCACGTGTTCACAATGTTTAGGAAAGTCTTAAACCTAGATTTACTGTGTGTCAGACTACATCTTGAAGGGAAAAACAGTAGCAAAATAACTGAACGTCATGTCACCGTAATTCCTTTTACTCTGGACCACTGCTACAAATTTCAGCTGACTTTATTCTCTCTCTTCCAGTACCTGCGATGGAGGCCAGTGGAGTTGCCAAGACATGCCATGCCCAGGAACATGTTCAGTAGAGGGAGGTTCACATATTTCCACATATGATAAAAAACATTACGATCACCATGGAGACTGCACTTACATCCTTTCCAAGGTAGGAATCATAAAACCTTATACATTTACAGAAAGAAAAGGTGATCTCAGTAAACACTTTTGAAACTTACCTCTTCTGGCATACCGATGTTAAATTGCCTCTCACTTAGCCAGATGTTTACTAAAACATATGCTCGCCATTCAAATGACAATCATCAGTTAACTATTAGGATGTCATGCAACAGTATATGGTGTTTACTGGGAAATTTCCAGTTCTGTGATGTAGTAATTGCTGAAAAGCATTGCCTTTTTTAAGGACTTGCTTAGTCTACATTCTTCAGTGTGATCAATCCAGCTTTCTTAACGAGTTGCATAATTTTTGCCATGTTACTGTATTTTATGGTATCGGGCCAAATGGTACAAATCTGAAAAATTACACTAACAGTTCTGAAAAAAAAATAATTTTTAGGACTAATGTTTTTATTTCATTCTGGGAAGTTCAAATACGGAAAATAAGTTCAAGTCAACTCATAAATTAATAAATTTTGTTTAAGTTTTGAACATATTTGAACAGTTTTAAAAATAAGTCAAAAGAAATAGAAAAATTAAAAACTAAGTATCATAAGAATATTTAATTACAGTGATATGCAAGTGAAATGTTTTGTTATTTTAGGGGCTTTTTTGTTTGTTCTTTGCTTTCCTTTTTCCCTATCTGCACTATTTAGTAAAAAAAAAAAAAAAAAAAAGTGATGTTATTGTTCTCCTCAAAAATGTTTTGTCTAGCATTGATACTAGATACAGAAAGATGAGAGATAAAGTAGAATTGAATCAAACATTAGAAGTGCACATGAATATCCAAATACAGAAATTATCAATATAATGCAAAACCAGATTCTCTTATTCTTCCTAAAGGCAAAACAGAACCTTAGGTCAAAGAAGGCCTGGGATTTGGGAGATTCTGGATCTTCTCCAGAAACAGAAATATTTTTTCAGAGTTGAGAGAAAATTTTACAGGGAAAGCTTCTGTAATTAGCCCTTCATGAAATAACTGTGGGCATTTTTTTTCAGCACTGTACAGATGAAACATTCACCATCCTCGTAGAACTACGCAGATGTGGCCTAACAGACACTGAGACATGCTTGAAGACAGTGACCCTCAACATGAATAAAGGACAAACTGTAAGAATGCAAAATACGCATGGGAAATGACTGTTAAAAATACGGAGAGCAAAGAAGCTGGGCCGTAGCCAGGGACCTGAATTTCTCTCTCAAATGTTGAGCATATGCAATAAGTACATGTTATTTTTAATCAAGTGAAAAGAAAATGATTTTGTTATGGAAATCAGATCAATCATAAATTTGGTTTTTTTAGAAGTTCATGAAGAATAACACTGTATTCACAAAGCAGAAAAATGCTATTTTCTCTGCCAATTAGGTGGAAAAAACATGAGCTTTTAGGTTAGAAACTACAACAGTGAGGGATGTGATTCATCACAAAGATGTGTTGAAAGAAACCAAGATGATGTAATTCCCTAGGGATTTGAGTAAGTCTCTTCAAAAATAATTCTTTTATGGTAGGGAAATTAGTAAAGTGTACAAAGTGGAAAGAGGGAGGAGGTGAAATCACAAAAAATGAAGCTTTGTATTTAATATTTTTTAATTAATATCACTGGAGTCACCACAATTATTACTCTTTGGACTATAGTTATCCTTCACACACCTTCATCTTGTTCCTCTTCCTTATCAGCTCATCGAGGTCAAACCTGATGGTGGTGTGTTTGTGAATTCGATCTACACCCATCTACCCATCTCAGCAGGTATTTTTTTTTTCTCGAAGAGTTTGTAAGCAGTAAGCTCAAAACTTCAACTCCACACCTGGATTTTTTTTTAAAACTATCAAAAATCGAAAGACTCTTTGTTGTTCAGAACCTGCATGTTCACACTTCAGTTCTCTTTGGGATGTTTCCTGAGTCACACAAGTGGTTTGGAAGTAGAAGTGGAAAGTTTGGTGTCATAAAGAAATGAGAGACAGTACAAGTATAGGCAAGAGTTCTAACAGAAGCAAACAGCGTTTATAATCTCCTGATTTGATCACTGTATGGTTTATTTCCTTCTTTTTTTTTTTTTTTTTTTTTTTTTTTTTTTAATTTACCACACCTGTCCTCACACTTCCTCAGACAGAAATTTGATTTTTTGCTCTCTGTCTCAATAACTAATGATTCTATGTGATATCTCTGATTTCTAGATCTGCTTATTTTTCCTCTTCATCACTGAAGCCTCCAATGTATGCCGTGCAAGCTTAGAAACAAAAATAGAAGTTTTCTTTTTAATGCTCAGTGCCATACAGTTTTTAATTCTTATTCTCTTTAGAGGAGTAATCTCCAACTGTTGAGACAACAAATAGTTACCAACTTGGTAGCTACAAGCAAATTCTGAACTGTAAATTTTTATTTATATTTCTGATTAATTTTAATAAAGATTGGCTTTATTTCACCTCAGAATTTGCAACAATTGTGGTAGAAATTCAAGAAGAATGGTATAATGATGCACTGTTTCCAGCATTTGACCTCATTTGGAAAGTGATCATTCTGTTTCTCACCTGTAGCTAATGTCACCGTGTTCAGACCTTCATCATTCTTCATCATCATGCAGACAAACTTTGGTGTCCACCTTGAAATCCAAATCACACCCATCATGCAAGTGTTTGTACGACTGGATCCTGTTTTCAAAGACCAGACCTGTGGTAAGTGAATGAAATATAAGAACATCTTGCTTAACGTCTTTTGCCTAGTATGAGCAGAATAAACTTTTCACTGCTTTTCAACAGGTCTCTGTGGAAATTTCAATAACATCCAAACTGATGACTTCAAGGTCATAAGTGGAATAATTGAAGGAACAGCAACAGCATTTGCTAATACATGGAAAACTCAGGCCTCATGCCCTAATATCCAGCAGAGCTTTGAGAACCCTTGTGCACTCAGCATTGATAATGGTACTTGCTTCTTAGAATTTCTTCTAGATCTTTTTTTGCTCATCCCTAAGGAAACTACATCAGTTGGCAAGCAAAGACAAGAGAATAAAGACTTGGTAAAAACATACATCTGAAGACAGAAACAAATATTCAAAATGAAAGCACTGTGGATAAGTAACAAAGGAAGAGTTATAGTAACATAACTGAAGGAAACTGTACGGTCATTGAAAACAGAGAGGTTGTCTAAGCTGAGAACTTAAGTGTCAGAGGAGTGAATTGAAGGAATATCTTTGGAAATCTCTTGCTCATTCCCTTCAGCAAGTCCTCCTCTCTGATTTTAGGAACTTTAGCCCACAAACTGAGTGAAAAAAAGACAGGAAGAGAGATTTGATGTAATTTCAGAACTGACTTCATAGACCAGGGCAGCGTGGTTTTGTGACTAATAAAATACAAAGATTTGTATTTTATTAAATTTATAACATGAGATTGTACTGTTTGTTCTCTTCACAGAAAAATATGCTCAGCATTGGTGTGGACTACTAACTGACAGCGAAGGACCTTTTGCTGATTGTCACTATGCAGTGAATCCCTCTGTTCACCACACGGTACTTTGTTAGACTGTTTTTCCCTTTAGAAACAATAGAAATATGATCATTACAACAGTTACCACAAAAGGACTCTTCCAGACATGTCTCCTGTCTTACACAATGCTTGTATTTTCATTCCTGTCCTGCAGCACTTTCTTCTTTCAACATGTGTTTCTGTTCTGTTGTAACATTCAACACGTGTTTCTATTTGTGTTGCAACATTACCTTATTTCAGTTGTCAGTCTTGGCTTCAAGATCCTGACTTGTTTGCAAATGAAAAGGCAGATATTTACTCCTGGAGGATACACACATATAGTAGGAAGTGCATGTCAAATGCTTACTTGAATATCAGTGAATTGTTGTCTCTTCAGCCTCTTATCTGGCAGAGAAAGCCCATTAGCTAGTTATTATTCTGCTTTCAGTGTGTTGACAGTCTTTTTTCTCACTATGAATCATCCAGGTATGGACACAGGTGAAATTATGTGTCTAGACCACGTACTGTGAGCAGAGCTTTGAGTGACACTGTGCAGCGTATTTGTAAATATGGTTCAGAGGAACATGAAGCTGTTAAATGTGTAACAGACTTTAAGAGCACTATTTGCCAATAATAACTGCAGACTTCAACTGAATTTCCATAACCTTCATTCTCCCCTGTCAGAAAACTTAGGCCAAGACTGGAAAGTGATAAAGCTATGTCAGTGTAGTCTGTGAGTTAGCATATCTGAAGACGGATTAGTACATAAGGCCAGAAAGATAACATTCCTTTTTTTCAGATTGAAATATTACCACTGCTGAGACTCTGTTTTTCTCTGCGTTCTTAGAACTGCATGTTTGACACATGTAACTGTGAAAATAGTGAGGACTGTCTGTGTGCAGCCCTGTCTTCCTATGTGAGAGCTTGTGCTGCAAAGGGAGTCCTGCTGCATGGGTGGAGGACTGATGTCTGCTGTAAGTACTTTCAACCGTCCCCTTTCCTAGGAACACACATCAACAAAAACTGCTGATCAGAGATTACTTTATACTGATTTCTAGACAAATATACTATGTGTTGAGGAAAGGATTTTGTTAAGGGCACTCCTAGAAGTAATCCTCTGTTGTTCCCTTAGGATCAATCCATTGCTAGGAAGAGTGAATATGAATACATGGGAGACAGTTTACTTAGGAAAGACACTGCTGTTGTGGATGTGCCTCCACCTGATTCTGTGCAACTGAATTTCACTACAGCTTTATGTATCACAAGTTATTGTAGAGAAACTGTGAAGCATTAGGATAACAGTAACAGTAATACTAACCAGAACACTTGCAAATGAAAGGTTTCTCAATCTGCATGCTGGGTTCCACTGATCCTGTAGGTCTGCTTTCAGCATACCAGGAGACATTCAGGGAGACCTCTTCTGCCACAAAAGCTTTAGAAGTTTTGGCAATGAATGGAAGCATCAAACAGAGGTTTCTTTCTGAAATTTAATTTGAAAAAATATTTTACTCTTTGCATAATATCACTTAACATGGACAGTAGTTTTTCAGATCTAACTCTGGAAATATTCAGCAATACATTTATATGAATGATACAACATAGGTAGAGGTGTTTATGTGTTATTTCTACTGCCTGTGGTTTCTTTTTTCCCACCAGAGGTTGCCATCTGGAATTAATAAACCTATTATATTTTCCTCTCTCAAGCAAAATACACCACCTCATGTCCCAAATCGCTAAGCTACAGCTATACCATCTCTTCCTGTCAACCCACGTGTCGGTCCCTGAGTGAGCCTGATGTCACATGCAACATTAAGTTTGTCCCAGTTGATGGCTGCGCCTGTGCAAATGGAACCTACATGGATGAGAGCGGCAAATGTGTGCCTCCTAATGAATGCCCCTGCTACTACAGAGGATCTCCCATACCATTTGGAGAAGCTATCCATGAAAATGGGCTTGTATGGTAAGTGAATCAGTTCTAAGAATGGTACATATTCTCCCGAGCTGGAAGACAGGGACAGGGAGTAGAATGAAGCCCCTGTAATCCAAGGGGAGATGGTTAGCGACCTGCTACACCACTTAGACTTGCCCAAGTGCACGGAGCTGGATGGAATCCACCCAAGGGTACTGGGGGAGCTGGCAGAAGTGCTCTCCAAGCCACTTCCCATCGTTTATCAGCAGCCCTGGCTAACCAGGGAGGACCCAGCTGACTGGGAGTTAGCAAATGTGGTGCCCCTCTACAGGAAGGGCTGGAAGGAGAAACCAGGGAGCTACAGGCTCTCAGCCTGACCTCAGTGCCAGGGAAGGTTATGGAGCAGATCATCTTGAGTGCCATCACGCAGCACCTCCAGGACAGCCAGGTGACCAAGCCCAGTCAGCGTGGGTTTATGAAAGGCAGGCCCAGCTTGACTAACCTCATCTCCTTCTATGACAAGGTGACCCACTTAGCGGACAGGGGAAAGGCTGGAATTCAGTAAAGCCTTTGACACTGTTTCCCACAGCATTCTCCTACAGAAACTGCCTGCTCATGGCTCGGAGGGACATGCTCTTTGCCGGGTATGGCCGGGCCCAAGAGCTGTGGTGAATGGAGTTAAATCCAGTTGGTGGCTGGTCACAAGTGGTCTTCCCAGGGCTCAGCACTGGAGCCAGTTGTGTTTAATATCTGTATCAGTGATCTGGAGGAGGAGATTGAGTGCTCCCTCAGCAAGTCTGCAGATGACTCCAAGCTGGACGGGAGTGTTGATGTGCTGGAGGGTGGGAAGGCTCCACAGAGCCTCGTCTGGACATATATGACCAGGCTAAACAATATCTATGACTCTGTGATATTTCCAGATTGATAGAGCAATATTATTTAGGTGCATTTTCAATTTAATTCCATGTTTTTTCAAGAATAAAATTATAGCACCACCAGCAAGGAGAGATTCTGTGAGAAAGTAAGGAACAAGCAGATACATATACTAATTTCAACCTATGATTTTTCCTGTTAAGAAATAATGTATACCATATGAAAGTAGCACTGGTAGTGCTATTGGAGAAACTTCTTTCCTGAGACTGCAAAACAACATTCTAGAATTCATTCAAAAATTCTGAAACTTGGCAATAGAGAAGTAGCTCTCAGTCTCAATACATGGTGTGAGTGAAAAAAAAAATATTTTTCCCTCTCTTACAGCACTTGCATCCAGGGAAGACTGAATTGCATTGGAGCACCTAATCCAACTCCAGGTAAAAAAAATTCTTCCAGTTATCTTCTTCTGTGTGCCAGGCTTTGGACAGAAATTGTTGATAGAATTTATTTTTCTTAATGGATTTTTAAATTCTAGAAGTAATTGTCATTTAGTTATAGTGCAGCAGATATCATAAAAGTCAGAAATTAAACTAGATTAATTAGAAGACCTCTTTTTCAAAAATATTTTTTTCTGAAATCCTGTGGGGATTTTCCTGGGAAGTCAGTGCTCTGAAGTGAATCTATTTAGCAGATTGAAAAAGGACACAAATCCCTAATAACTGACATACACAATTTACAAAGAATTTTTAGATGGTTTTACTGGCTAAACTGTGGGATAAACCCTGTACCATTTCTCACCGTTCTCACCTTTTTCCTTCCTTTAGCCTGTGAACCTCCCATGGTCCACTTCGACTGTAGAAACATCACTGCAGGAACAACTGGAGCAGAGTGTCAGAAAAGTTGCCAAACTCTGGATATGCAGTGTGTAAGTATGTCATGGCTGGATGAAATGGTGCTTCCAGGTTTTGTCTGTGCTCTTGGTGCTAAAGTAATTGATCTGTCATCTGACCTACTCCAAATCCACAACACGGACACTTTTTTCTTGAAGCAAATCCTAAAACCATGTTCCACAGCATTAGCAATGGGAGCCTTAGACCAAAATATAATTAAGTAACATCCAGTTTAATTAATGAGATTAGTGTCTACCTTTCTTCAGCTACTAGAGGTAACAGTAGTGAAAATAGCTAGGGCTCACCACACGTTTTACTTCTTTAGGAGAAAATCAGTGGCTATAAACTGTCTAGGAGAAATCATTCTTTGTCATACCATGATGCAATTGTGAATCTCTTGCACATCTAATTGTATTACTCCACCTAGGTGCATGGTAGCCACATGCAATTTCACAAATAAGCACCATATGAGATAAACAGATTTCAATGTAACTCAACCAAACTGAAAAAAAAAAAATTGTTTTCTCTTCAAAGCTCCATTCAATCACAAATCACCTACTGCAAAGTGCAAGACTTAAGATTCAATGTATTTGAAGTTCCCCAGACTCCAGCAGAGAAATCAGGATTGGCATATATAAAACATTTAACAGGTTTATATTCTATTAAATCAATTACTAGTAACTTTCTTTTTATTCCATTGTCCTGTAAGTACTTCATAGTCCTCTCACATTTAAGCTCAGCAGTAGTAAGACCATATAAAGACATTTTATAGGAATTTCATCTTCCTTTTTTCTATTGTGATTATTTCATTATGAAATTATATCTTCCTCTTGACTTTTCCAGTATATCACAAAATGTATACCTGGCTGCGTGTGCCCAAGTGGGCTTGTGTTAGATGGGAATGGTGGTTGTATTCCTGAAGAAGAGTGTCCATGTATTCACAATGAAGCCATGTATCAGCCTGGGGAAAAAATCAACGTTGACTGTAACACCTGGTAAATAAATCCCCGAAAGTAGCATTCCTTGTTCCATCATTTGCCTTTTCAAAGATCTTAAATAGTACAGCAGTGAGGAAAGATTTGTATTGCACGTTTCATCAATTGATGGATCTTTTAGTTTCAGATTAAACAGCATCAGCAGGTTTCCTAATGATGTAGACAGATGGCCAAAGCACAGAATGGGAGGAAATCTTTGGGACTACAGTGTTCATTAATTATTATTCTATTTTGCAGTTAATATATTCAGAGTAGCAGAACAGAACTTTGCTTTAATTCTTTACAATGAAAATGTAAAAGACCATTTTAACACCAGAATCAATATAACATTTACCAGGGATGAGTTGACAAACAAACACTGAGTTGCTGGGATATGTCTACACAAAACAGTGAGTTGCTTTATTATTAAAATGTTTTACTCTCATCCCTAGTGTATGCAAGAATAGGAAGTGGGAATGCACCAAAGATCAATGTCTGGGCACTTGTGCTGTTTATGGAGATGGTCATTATAATACCTTCGATGACAAAAGGTTCAGCTTCAATGGAAACTGTGAATACACACTGGTCCAGGTACTGATATATAGCAATAGTAAATGAGACATAACCTTGATCCTATCTACAAAAATAACACATTTTTAAATGTTATGGTCTACCCAGGACCACTGTGGGAAGAGTGGCACAGTGAATGGGACCTTCAGGGTTATCACTGAAAATATTCCCTGTGGCAACACTGGGACGACTTGCTCAAAATCTATCAAAGTTTTCTTAGAGGTAAGAAGGTTTTGCATATAGACCAGTTTTCTTCTGTATCTGCTTAGGGCTTAGGAGAAGCCTAGATATCCATAGCTTCAGGGAAGTTGTAAGAATATCACTTTACAAAATAGCAACTTATAAATTAAGCTTAAATCAGATTCAGGTTAAATATTCGGTAGAGCTCACCAGCTTTCTACCTTTTCCATTCCCCTCCTTATCTTATACCGCTCTTGGGTAAACTACAGATCTACAGGAAAATCATCTTTAGCAGAAATTTAGCCTGTTGTGTCAGAAGATTTTTTTTTTTTTCTGGGCAGTGTAGTTCCTCCATGACTGCCAAAACACCCCTTTTTGACATACTATTTAAAATACCTTTTTACCACAGTTTCAGGAACCTGAGATTTGAACTATATAGTTTAGATTTATCACATTTGGATTATTTGCTTTTCTTATATAAACCATTTTTAGTACTCTTAAAAGCAGAAAAACATGTTTAAGAGCACAGATGCAACTATGGGGTTAATTTCTAATCATCTTTTCCTCATGTTTCAGAGCTATGAACTGATACTTGGTGAGGAGCACGTCAGTGTCTTAAAGAGAGGACAAGATGATGAGGTGCCATACACAGTCCGCTATATGGGTGTGTACTTGGTAATTGAGACCACAAGTGGACTGATCCTCCTGTGGGACAAGAAAACCAGCATCTTCATCAAGCTCAGCCCTGATTTTAAGGTGAGGAACTAGCAGTTAAATGGCAATTTACAGTCCAGATTTGGACTGGGTGTGAATTTTGTTGAGAACCTGCCAAGATTTCAAACAGGTGATGTCTCTAGCATTCCCGCAGGACATCCCATGTTGTTTTTCATTCCTCTGGTGCCTCAGAAAGCTGTGTCATCATCCTGACACTGTCCGAGCTCTGAAGGCAGTTTTCAGTGCCTGTTTGGCTTGACAGAACTTGAGTTGGCCATTCACTTTTTCTGACTTGACTTTGTTAAATATTAATCCCTGAATCTTGGTAAATGTTATCAGACCTTATTAAAATTACATATCTACATGTGTAAAAATCAATTGAGTAGTCTTGATTTTGAAGGTGATCCATTGTTTCTGGTTCTCATTGACAGACAAATCAAATTATCATACTTTAAGAACAAGGAAGTGAAATATTATGTGAGTGAAAATCTCTTGTAAAATGCTACCATGTATTTTTCAAGCATATATCTACGCAGGTGATATGGAAAATACATTCCTGTTGTCATACCCCTTCTCCTAGCTTATGATATATACTAAAAACTAGTAAATTAGGAGTTTGCTATCTTATTGTATACCACAGTGACATTTTAATTAGATACATAAATTAAGTATAATTTAGAACTAAATATACATTTATTTCAGTATCATAGGTTCTTTTCCTGGCTCACTCACTGGCACTTTATAAAACTAGTAGTAATATGGAAAGTATGCACCTTAGATTCATGGAGAAAGCATAGCATCTATTGTAGCCTATCACAGTTTTACAGATCCATAAATTTAGGATGGAGGGATATTTCTGGATGTACAAGGAAAATGCAATTTCTTTTTATGCCTGTGAGCAGTCATAACAGTAAAGACTCAATGAGTAGACTGTGTGGCTAGACTGGTGGTATTTATGACAGTTTTGTAAGGCTGGTTTTTATATGCACATTTATTGTATTTTTATACTGTATTTTTATACTGTATTTTTATACAATATATTATTGTATGAAACAAGGATTAAAGGAAAAGCTAACTGTGAGTCCTTATTTCCTTGTTAAAGATATACCTCAAAGGTTATAATGACAAAGATTGTTTTATTATACAGATTTAAAAGGAGAAAAGTCAACGGTAGTATCCTTCTATCTTTAGTGGTTATGTTCTGCTACTGAGGAAGCAAAGGATGAAGATGTTTCAGGACTGTTAGAATGGAATGGCACTATTCTAAGGGCTGAATTTCAGATGTTGCTTCAAGTTTTCTCACACCCATTATTATTTTATTTACTTCCTTTTTCAGGGTCAGGTCTGTGGCCTCTGTGGAAATTATGATGGCAACGGCATCAATGACTTTACTACAAGGAGTCAGTCTGTGGTAGAGAATGTCCTAGAGTTTGGAAACAGCTGGAAAGTATCCTCCACATGTCCTGATGCTCACAGCATAAAGGATCCATGTTCTACCAACCCCTATCGAAAGTCCTGGTCAGAGAAGCAGTGTAGCATCATCAACAGCAATATCTTTGCTGCCTGTCACTCTCAGGTATTACCAGGGCAGAGCTTTACTGTGTGGAGACTAGGTCTGTGTATTATTGAAGCTGCTATCCTCATACATTTTAACATGCATGCCTAATCCATTAGCATGTTTCACTTTGAATTGTGTCAGGAAAACCTCAATCTGAATCCCACTCCATGGGACAGATTTATAGTCCCCACCTGTAAGAAATAAAAAGACATTTAGTTCATAGGAAATATTGACCTATTACAAAAGAATAATGATTTCATAATTACTATGTATTTTCTTGCAGTGCGACTTGAATAAAAATTCTCATATACTATGTAGAGAACACAAGCTCAATGAAATAACATAGAACTGAAGTATCAGCATAGCCTTTATCTGACACTAAGTACATACAAACAATGCAGGGAAGCTCTGTGCTCTTCCTGTTACCTTAGTTCTTTCCACTGGCAGAGACCTTCATTTTCAAGTACAGTAGCCTAGTATTTCTTGGGAACATGAATCTAATCTTCCACTAAGTCTGGGTGCCTAAAAATCTGTCAATACATGATTCGGATGTATCATCTGGCATCACCTCTGGTGTTTAACAGTGCATGTAAACAAAAGAAAAAGAAATTACTGATACAGACCTTTCTTCTGTGATGTTACAGTTTTAAGAAAATTACCCTAGCAAAGCTAAGAGAATTTTGAAGGCAGGCGGTATAGTATTACATATCTTTTTAATAACAGGTTGAACCAGCAAAATATTACCAAGCTTGTGTGACAGACGCTTGTGCCTGTGACACTGGAGGAGACTGTGATTGCTTCTGCACAGCAGTAGCTGCCTATGCTCAAGCGTGCAGTGAAGTTGGTGTCTGCGTAACCTGGAGAACCCCATCGATCTGTCGTGAGTTTTATACCATAAACACTTCTGAGAGCGTAGTTAAATGCACAGTGCCTTGCTGATGACCTTGAACACACGCTCTGGGTATCTTTTATATGTGTATTATAATCTCACTGTGTAGACTTTTCACACTAAGCTGTTTTGTTAGTCACACAATTTCACCTATTCCTTCATGGTTTTCAAGACTATTCAAGCACCATTTTCAGGGATATGGTGAACAGATATGACTCAGAAAAAGCTCTTATTTCTTTTTCTGAACATATCCAAATTTCTGTTTCTCCTTAGCATTGTTCTGTGATTACTACAATCAACAAGGGGAATGTGAATGGCACTATAAGCCTTGTGGAGCCTCCTGTATGAAGACCTGTAGAAACCCCAGTGGAAAATGCCTCCATAACTTGCCAGGTTTAGAAGGTAAAAAGAGCTGCAAGTGCCTTTAAGTGGGTACATTTTATTATATTTTTAATGGTCTTTAATGGAGTGTATTTTCCCCATCAGCTGCATTTTACCATTCAATTCTCTCCAAAATCACTGCATCCACATGAATGGAGTGTAGAAATTGGTGTTAAAAACATCTCCAGGACTAAGTCATCATGGGTGTGCTCTGCTCATACTCTGCATTGCTTCCTAGAATTATTGGAAAAAAATCAGTAGTAAAAATTATGACTATTGAAAACAAGACCTGCAAACACTTCCTGCAGAAATAAAACTTACGCTGACTGTATCTCATTCTCACCTTTTCTCCATTCTATACATCTTTTTCCTTCCGTCAGGCTGCTACCCTAACTGCCCACCAGACAAGCCGTATTTTCATGAGGATCAGATGAAGTGCGTTAGTCTCTGTGACTGTTATGATAATGAAGATGGCAAGATATATAGACGGGATGAATGTCATTTATGGTAAGACTTAACATACCAGCCTAATTGTGTACAAGGGAAACAGCAGTGGGAAATTGCACGTTCCTGTTATGTGACAGGACTAATTTATGAGTTTATGCTGTCTGTGTAAAAATGCCTTACTATCTAATGCCAATTTTCTTACTATAATAGTAGTAAGAAGTTCTTATGTGATTTTATATTCTGTTGAATTTGTTCCTGATTATATTGTAGATCTTCAGCATAAAGATACAATAAGAACAGTAAGACCTTTCTGAACAGGCTTTCTCTATTTCCCATTCCTATGGCAGGAAAAATATTGTTCCAGGAGTAGAGATATCTAATAGGGATCTACTTCCAAGGATTTCATTACATTCTTACGCTGCTTGTAGTATTTAGACTCTTTCCCTTTTAGCCTGCTTTTTAGTACAAAAACATTTCAAGTGCAAGGAAAGTGATAAGCAGGAAAGAAAGTCGTCCTTAAGACTTCTACCTGCAGCTTTGCATAATATTTAGCTTCACTTCCATTTATGAGTTCGGGTTTAATATAAAGATTTTGGAAAACAATGGTAAAAAAGAAGCCAGCATGAACTGGACACTCAAGAAATAAACACAAACAAAGTGTCCTGGGTTTTGATTCTATTATCTGGCAGAAAGATGACTAATAAAACTACCTTATAAACAAAAAATATTCGGTTTTCTATGTTTTTTATTTCAGTGAATGCACATCAGACGGCTTACAGTGCAAGTATGATGATAAAGGTAAGACAACTAAGAAGAATCATTAAAAAAATAAAATACTGGATATTATTTTTTCATAGATGCCTGACAATAAACTTCTCTGAATTACAGCATGCCACTGCATTTATGAAGGGAACAGCTATAAATATGGTGAACTCATCTACAACACCACAGATGGAACTGGATGGTGTTTCAGTGCAACATGCGATGTCAATGGAACAATAAACAGAGATATCTTTAGATGTGACTTCTTTACAACAACCCCATTCACATTTTCTACAAGTCAGCCCACAACTACTGTTTCAGGTACTCATGAATACTTCTAAAAATAACTAAAAAATCTCTGGAATGGACTGAAATTTGCCTGAAAGGGAGGGCCTTTTCATCAGTTAATGGCACGTAATTTTACCTGACACTTTTGGCTTCTGCTAGAGCCACCAATTCATATGACAGCTTCAGTGGCTAAAGAAGACCATAATCAAGGATGTAGAAATGAGTATAGCATTTCTTACAACACTCAGTCTCCACGATTTCACCATGTTTTTTTCAGGGGAAAGAAAAATAGAGCTTATTAATCATGGCACCCTTGAGAATGTCCTCATTTCCTTCCAAACAAAAACTAGCAGTTCTAGACCAGCTTCTGAAAACATGAAAGAAAATGACTGCCGTTTTTTAAATTATGGACCAAATTAGGACAGACTGAAGATAAGAAATCTAGTTTGAGAGAATGATCAAATTAATTAAAACAATTCTTTGGAACCTTTCCTAATTGTATTTAAAACCAAATCAACAGTTTCCTTCTACTCCTGCAGTAAACTTCTACATTATTCCTGCAGATAACTCATTATAGTGACCATGTAATTCTGAGAAACTGAAACATATTTCCACAAACTCATACAATACAACAGCAAGAAATAAACATTCACCTTAAAGTCTTCTATAAAGCAACATATAAAGTGGTAGATATTCCACAAGGTTATCTTCATAATGTGAGAATATGAAAAGAAATAATATTAAAATACATATAACATACTTATTAGATTACGGTTCATATATATTGTATATTTCAATTCTATACTATAATGTATTACATATAAAATACATGTGTTAAATTTATAATCCATATGTATATTTATAAATATGTTATATAATATTAAAATAAGTAGAAAAGTCATTAACATGTAAAAATATTTTAAAGCCTGTGCAGTTATGCAGTTAGGTGTAAATACAGAGATTAATACCAAGGAGTATAACACCTACCTTTATGCTATAGTAATCATGAAGTCATATTATATTGACATTCCACATAAAGGATACCATATTAGTTATATTTAACAACAATTTTTAAATAAAAGGCACATAAAGAACTACTAGAAAAGTAATACAAACATGAGATCAAAACCTACCTTAGAAATTAAATTCAAGACTGCCAAAGAAAGTTCATTAAAATTTAAATGCTATATTAATATATATAATATTACATACAACATTAAAATGCATGGAAGATGAATCATTTATTCCAGGTACTTTCCTTAATAAGAATAGACAAGACTTATATTTCCTCCTTTTAATTACAGAAATAACAACTGCGACACCAGTGACAACTGTATGCGTAAAGAATGTGTGTGCATGGTCGGAATGGTATGATTCCACACAGCCTGAAAACAAAGAGGAGAGTGGAGATTATGAAACATTCGAAAATCTCAGAGAAAAGGGATACAGTGTGTGTAAAAACCCAAAGAGTGTTCAATGCAGAGCCAAGGAATACCCTGATACAGAAATAAACAATCTTAACCAAACGGTACAGTGCAGTCAAAGCAGAGGATTAACTTGCAATAACAAAGACCAACAATCAAAGCACTGCTATAATTATGAAATCAGAGTATCATGCTGCAGCTACATACCGTGCACAGAACTAAAAACTACAACAGCAAAACCCACAGAAGTATTCACAACCACTGCTGTAAAATCAACACCATTTACAATACAGACAATGCTAAAAACAACAACAAAAAACCAAGTAACTGAAGCACAAAAAACTGAAGTCCCTAAAATATCAACAACAGTCAGTGGAAGCACAACACCTCTGGCTGAAACTTCAGCTACAATAAAAACATCACAAGTCTCAACAACAGGGCACCAGACCATGTCAACTCCATCAGAAAAAAGCACTGTGGCAAAAGAGACACCAACAAAACCCACAACTGCCTCTACCCAGACAGAAGTGACAACCACCGCTGCCACCACCAGTGTCCCCACTTCCACGGCCCCACCAACACGAGGCACAACCATCCTCTCTACCACCAGCAGAGCCACCACCACCAAGACATCTCCCCCTCCAACAAAAGGAACAACTGTCATCACACCAAAAGTGACCACCTCAGCCATCAGCACTACCACGACCACCACAGGAAGCACCACAACCTCCACAGCCACGTCTGCTCCAGAGGAAACCTCCACCACAGCAACCCAAACCACAGCACCCACAACAACTGCCTCCACCCAGACAGGAGTGACAACCACTGCTGCCACCACCGGTGCCCCTACTTCCACGGCCCCACCAACACAAGGCACAACCATCCTCTCTACGACCAGCAGGGCCACCACCACCGAGTCCTCTCCCCCTCATACACAAACCACAACCTTCAGCATACCCACAACAACAACGTCCACCTCCAACACCACAGACAACTGCGTGCCGCGCTGTGCCTGGACGCAGTGGTTTAACTTGGATTCCCCGAGCCCTGGGAGCGAAAACGGAGACATAGAGACGTTTGCGAAGATCCGAGACGCGGGTTATGAACTGTGTGACAAGCCACGGGACATCCTGTGCCGTGCTAAGGATTACCCGGATTGGAGTCCGGACCAACTGGGTCAGGTGTTGGAGTGCAGTCTTGAAACTGGGCTTGTGTGCAGAAATAAGGATCAGATCACAAAGTACCCCATGTGCTTCGACTATGAGGTCAGGGTGGAGTGCTGTGACCGTAGGCACTGCGCGACAACACCAGCTCCCCCAAGCACCGTTGCAACTTCCACCAGCACAGCCTCGACTGCAAAAACCTCCACTGTAGTAACACAAACCACAGCACCAACAACTGCCTCCACCCAGTCCGGCGTGACAACCACCGCTGCGACCACCGGTGTCCCCACTTCCACTGTCCCACCAACACGAGGCACAACCATCCTCTCTACCAGCAGCAGGGCCACCACCACCACCGAGACATCTCCCCCTCCAACAAAAGGAACAACTGTCATCACACCAACACCATCAGTGACCACCTCAGCCATCAGCACTGCCACAACCACCACAGGAAGCACCACAACCTCCACAGCCACGTCTGCTCCAGAGGAAACCTCCACCACAACAACCCAAACCACAGCACCAACAACAACTGCCTCCACCCAGACAGAAGTGACAACCACCACTGCTGCCACCACCGGTGCCCCCACTTCCACGGCCCCACCAACACAAGGCCCAACCATCCTCTCTACGACCACCAGGGCCACCACCACCGGGTCTTCTCCCCCTCATACACAAACCACAACCTTCAGCATACCCACAACAACAACATCCACCTCCACCGCCACAGACAACTGCGTGCCGCGCTGTGCCTGGACGCAGTGGTTTAACTTGGATTCCCCGAGCCCTGGGAGCGAAAACGGAGACATAGAGACGTTTGCAAAGATCCGAGACGCAGGTTATGCACTGTGTGACAAGCCACGGGACATCCTGTGCCGTGCTAAGGATTACCCGAATCGGAGTCTGGACCAACTGGGTCAGGTGTTGGAGTGCAGTCTTGAAACTGGGCTTGTGTGCAGAAATAAGGATCAGATCACAAAGTACCCCATGTGCTTCGACTATGAGGTCAGGGTGGAGTGCTGTGACCGTAGGCACTGCGCGACAACACCAGCTCCCCCAAGCACCTTTGCAACCTCCACCAGCACAGCCTCGACTGCAAAAACCTCCACTGTAGTAACACAAACTACAGCACCAACAACTGCCTCCACCCAGTCTGGTGTGACAACCACCGCTGCGACCACCGGTGTCCCCACTTCCACTGTCTCACCAACACGAGGCACAACCATCCTCTCTACCAGCAGCAGGGCCACCACCACCGAGACATCTCCCCCTCTGACAGAAGGAACAACTGTCATCACACCAACACCATCAGTGACCACCTCAGCCATCAGCACTGCCACAACCACCACAGGAAGCACCACAACCTCCACAGCCACGTCTGCTCCAGAGGAAACCTCCACCACAGCAACCCAAACCACAGCTCCAACAACTGCCTCCACCATTAGCAGTACATATACTCTTCCAACTTCTGTTTCTTCTACTGGACAAAGTACTGCCACTACTGTTTTTCCCACAAGTTTCACTACTACCGTCAGCCCAGGTATGTCATTGTCTACCTCTGGAATAACTACAAGCAGTTATTTCAATAGAACAACATTGTTGTCTTTGTTTTCTGTGACTTTTTCCACCATGACTCTTATATCTTCCAACACATAAACCACTTTTTCATCTATCTGTCCCTCTGCTACTAGTGTCTATGTCAGGCAGGTGTGTGAGTGGGCCCCATAGCTTGATATTACTTACCCTAAGCTCGAGGGGGACAGTAGTAACTTTGAAACTTTTTAAATCATTAGAGATATATGTGATAAGATTTGCCAAATCCCAGATGGTATTCACTATAAAGCTAAAAAATGTCACAATCTGCACTTAGCAGTATTTCCAGTAGTTGAATGCAACAGAAATGTAGGTATGATTCGCCAAAGTGTTGAACAGTCCTCTCCAATATGTTAAAATGATGAGGTCAAAATCCTGTGCTGCAAACTAAACTATATCTCGTGCTTAACAGTAACTACAACTGGTATAATACAATCAAGTCATGGTACAAGCAGCACTTCTGCAATCTTCAGTCCTTCCTCCAGCATACCTGTCACAACAGAAGCGAGCACACATGTTACATCTCATGGAACAACTTCATGTCTCTGTCATGTGTTTGGTAATTTTTTCTCTCCAGGTAAGTGTTTATTTTATGGTTATAAAAGTCTGCATAAACAATATAAACCCATAGTACTCTATTCAATTAAAGATAACCATTCAAAATAATCTAAACATAGAACTTTTTGTACAGAAATACATTTTCTATTTTCACATTATTTTCTTGGTTTTATTGCCTAAGTATTTTCATTGGTCTTTTAATTTCTTCTCCAATTTTCCTCTACAGGGGAAGTGGTGTACAACAGAACAGATATGGCTGGCTGTAATTTTTATGCACTTTGCAGCAGTGAATGTGAAATTCACCCGTTCCAGGGGTCATGTCCTGTGACAACTCCTTTCACCTCAGTCGCCACAGAATCTACAACACAAGCTGCCTCATCCACAGAACATGTATTTCCTTCTGTCTCGCCAACCACAGCAACGTCCCTCACAACTTTAGTAGAACGAAACTGTACTGATGTCAACCCTCCACGAAAGGTGGTTCCCCTTGTTATTTTCTAATATATCACCATGGCAAACCCAGCCCAATTTCTGTCCACTAATAGATAACTCAAATCAACTTGTTTGTATTCCAGTGACGAAGTTGGTTATGTTACAAATGACCTGAGAGTGCACAATTCTTCAACCTGGCATTACCAGGCTTTTAAGTAATCTGGAGATGGAAAAGCTCACTAATACCATGGCAGAGACTTTTTTTTTTTAATAAAAGACATTTAAATGTCACAGACATAAGTAGACTAGCTATGAAAGTGTGAAAAAATCTCATTCTTTCTACACAAAAGAAAATTCTGTGATTGTTCCCAGCTTGACTGCTCTTAAGGCCTGAAATCATATGCTAAGAAAACTCTTATCAGAACTCCCTATCAATTTTGAGAGTCTATCTCATGTTAAAACAGAACAACTAGGGTGAGAAAGCACTTAAGAATAAATCATTTACATATTTTCAGCCTGGAGAGAAATGGATAAATGAATGCCAGGAGTGTGTCTGTGACCCCGTTACTGCTAATGCACAATGCCACCGGCTCCTATGCCCAACAGTTCAGACGCCAATTTGTGACCTAGGATTTGTTTCCACTCTTGTACTACCAAAAGATTCTTGCTGTCCTGAATATAAATGCGGTAAGTATCAAAAATACATATATAAACACCAGGCTACACACTGGTAAATTACATTTGCACTTCTGTTAGTATCTAATCAAGTTCTTCATGTACCACAATAATAGCAAAACTTTTCTTAAAGTGTTCTGGCTTAGTGAACACACATCAATTTTTGGCTAAACATGCATTAGAAATTTTATTTAAAACCAAAATGTTATTTTTAATTAAGTTTGCTGGGAGAATTGGAATGGGTGGGAGAGCAGAATAATACTTTGAATCTTCAAGAGGCCTGTGTACATCAACTATCTGTGTATCATAAAGGTTATTAATAAACTTGATCTAATGTTATTAATGTAACATTGGAGCACATTAACATTAGCCTAACTGTAGCTAAACTAAGATGCATAAACATAAGAATATGACACCAGAAAGCTTAACAGTTAACTACAAAAGCAAGTAACATGAAGCAATAATACAAAGTTAATTGTAATCAGTAACTGAATTGTCAGTGTATGAAAAATAATTATACTCAGTGCATTATATTGACTGTTGTTTATTGCTTGTAAAAATCAGTTATATATATTTATATACATAAATTTTTATATGCATATATTTTTATACATATATTTATATAAAATAATAAAAGGAAAAAGGTAGCCATAAATTAAGCTCAAAAAGGGAAAGTCAAAGGAACAATCAAGTTTGAAGTAGTCCTGTGAAAGACATGAATGGGTTCTGCTATCAAATTATTTATATTACCATGGTAAGAATAACTTTCTTTTCACCCAGAGTCAGTCTTTCATCTAAGCCATGTCTGAGAGGTCACAAAGAATCAAAGGTATCTTTGAAGGTTACTGGACTTCTAGGATTCAAAGATGAAATAACTAATTTAATTTGAAGTGAACCTGAGGGATTTTTCATGCATAGCTCAAGTTAGAAGCCATCCCTCCTGAAGTCTTCTAGCTAATTTCAAAAAAGAAACTTTACTTAAACATCCAGCTACACTAAATAGGAGGTCTGAGCATGTAGGGAAAATTCAAGTTTTCCATAGTCTCTATGTTACTAACAAAGCTTGATAACATCTTGGCTTCTCAATAAGTCTCCCACTTTGAGTTTACTCTGGAATTATTTTTTTGTTTTTCAGAACCAATAGATGGCACCTGTGTGATTAACGGTACAGTGTACACGGTGAGAATGTTATAGTGATATATTGCTGGAAGTGAAATGTACATCCTTTCTACCTAAAAAAGCCTTTGAGAAAGTTCTTCTCCCAGTACATGTCTTTTTATTTCTTAGCCCTTAACTGGAAGTTATTATTTTTCTAATGCCAAAACCAAAATCATCACAGAAGAGTTCCTCAACATGTAACATAAGACAAGAATGTACCATTTTTAGTGACGTACTTCTTTTTTAAGCTCTCTCCCACTTCTGGAATTAATGAATTTCCAAACAAGCTGCTGAACAGCCCAAACTCAATCGTTCTCTAAAATAAGCCCAGACAACCTTCAGAATTCAAGCTAGGGTTTTTGCTTTAATTGATACCTAAATCTTTTGCTAAAATTCGTACTTGAGTCTTTCAGTCAAAATTTAAACATTAGCCTTAAACTGGAGCCTTCTGGGGACACATTTCAGAAAAACTAAAATCCAGGTGTAAATTTGTATCTCTGCTTATGAATCTGCATATATATATCCAGTTATTTTAATCTCGATTTGTAAATTATAATTGTTTTCTAACCACTGAACATGACTTGCAGGGAAAAAAAAAATCTTAAATGAGCATTGAAAAGCTGGTAAAACAGCGGTACAAACAAGTCTTACCTCCAATTTATTAATTTGCTTTTCTGTTTTGTATTGCTTCATTTAGTTTCCTGCTAATGTGTGCTTTCTTGTGAGGCATAAAGCCAAACAACTTTATGTTCAGAGAGTTGAACAACTCAGTCACACTTGCATTTCAGCAACATGAATCTCAGCAATGCTTTCAACTCTGCCTATCCTTTATATAGAAACTGTTGCCATTTGACTTTTTTTTTTTGTCTCCTGTCTTCCAGGTTGGAACGTCAACAGTAATCAATTCATGTAAGAACTGTACCTGCAGCTCTGAGAAAGATCCGGTGACTAAGGCAAATATTGTGCATTGTGAAACAGTTCAATGTGAAACATCTTGCCCTCTGGTAAGTTCAGATCCTCTAGGCTGCCCAGTCAGCCCTCAATTACAGGAAGACTGGAATTCTCCATTACCAACTCAACATACTTTCTGTTTCACCTCCTTGTGAGTAGGGTCATCAATATATGATTGAGGATGGAGAGTGCTGCGGGAAGTGTATTGAAGTAGCTTGCATAATCAAACTAAGTAACAACACTATTCACGTGTTCCCTGTAAGTATTCCTTTCATTTTCAGATCTATTGGCCAATACAGGTTAGAACAGCTAAGAGTTAACTCATATCCCTTACAGGTAAAAATTTAATTAATACTGAAATTACTCTGAATACACACTGGTTTTCTGAATTGAACTCTTACTTGGAATGACAAATTCTTTATATGTGTGGGATTATATAACTGGGCAATGGTTTCTAATTTGTGGTCTGAGTGTTCAGACCCAGGATTTAAACTTTCAAGCTAGCCACAGTTTGCAAAATTTCGCTTTTGCCACTTGTAAAAGAATTTCAGAAGTATCTGAGAATCTTCGAGGTGTGAGAACTTAATTCACTCAGACATTTTTGAAGTAATCATACTATACTTGATCACAATGAAAAAAAAATTGTTTGCTTTTCTTCTAAAATCTTAGGTTGATGAGATCCTGCCACTCGATAATTGCAGCCATTACAAATGTGAAAAAATTGAAGATCAATTTGTTCCAGTCCAAACTAAAAAAATATGCCCCGAGTATGACCCAGGAGAGTGTGATCCTGTAAGTTTTAACCAATTCTTCATCAATTGAATGCAGTTTAAAAGAACAAGGAGGGGCAAGGAAAAATATAACAAATCACTTCCACTTAAGTTGCAGGAATGTCTTAAGAGTTAATTTAATTTTGCTGTAACATTCATAATAAAAAAAAGTTTAATATTTTTATATGGTGTTACAAGAATTCAAGACTTTTATGTTGGGGACAGTAAGTCATCCATCTTTCCATGCAGTGTTCATCACAGAGGAGATTTCTGCTCAATATTAGTAACGCTAACTCATATTCTTACTCATGATTGTCACCTGTGCATTAATACAAATCCTCCTCCTTTACTTTTGCAAAGGATGAAGCAGAGACTACTCCCGATGGCTGCTGCAAAATATGTAAACGTAAGTGATGATGTGTTCATGTTTTCTGCTTGAAGAGCACTGTATCCAATTCCTAACTATCTTTGTGTGGATGGAAGGATTGTTCACTCACAGTTTTCAGTTTCTCAAGACCCTGTGTTTGGCTAATTATTCAAAAGGAAAAAACAAATTTGTTTTCCTCATACTGAATTCCACAACCCAAACCACTGATGCTCAGGTCTCTGCATTATCTTCCAAAGACACTGTACGGGTGGGATCAAAGAAAAACCTGAAAACTCCAGATACATTACACAGTATCCCCACCCCCCACCATCACATGCTGCACATTCTCAATAATCAGACATCATACACTTTGAAATTGCTGAAACATTCGTTTAGTTCTGAAATAGAGATTTGAAGTATGTTTTTTTCCCCCCTGTTTATGAAGCTGCAAAGTGCAAACCATACAGCAAAAAAACTGTGATCCAGCAAGGAGACTGTGAATCTTCTGAACCTGTTGAGCTGACATATTGTGAAGGAACTTGTCCTGGCTCCTCAGTGTAAGTTCCGAAAACTTAATTTAGCATCTCTATGGCCTCATTTATGTTTCATTTATACTGGTGTCATGAGCCAGCATGTGACCAAGAAGGCCAATGGCATCCTGGCTTGTGTCAGCACTGGCGTGGCCAGCAGGGACAGGGAAGGGATCTGAGCCCTGGGCTCGGCACTGCTGAGGCCGCCCCTCGCTGAGTGGGTTCAGTTTTGGGCCCCTCACTGCAAGAAAGACATTGAGGTGCTGGACTGTGTCCACAGAAGAGCAACGAAGCTGGTGAAGGGTTCAGAGTACAGATCTTAGGAGGAGCAGCTGAGGGAACTGGAGTTTAGTCTGGAGAAAAGGAGGCTGAGGGGACACATTGATAGCTCTCTCCAACTACCTGAAAAGAGGGTGTAATGAGGTGGGTGTGGGTGTCTTTTTGTAAGTAACAAGCAGTAGGACAAGAGGAAACAGCCTTAAGTTGCAGCAGGGGAGACTTAGATTGGATATCAGGAAAAATTTCTTCATGGGAAGGATTGTCAAGCACTGGAACAGGCTGCCCAGGGAAGTGGTGGAGTCACCATCCCTGGAGGTGTTTAAAAGTTGTGTAGGGACATGGTTTAGAGGTGGACTAGGCAGTGTTAGGTTAAAAATTGGACTTGAACTTAAAGGTCTTTTCTGACCTACATGATTCTATGATTATAGAATAACAAAGTAAATGTGTTTATATGATTCCATTGAGTAGAATCAGGCTCAGTGGAAACAAGAACAGTTTCACTATTGAAAAGAGAATTAATTAAAAATCACATTCATATGTGTGTGAGGGAGGAAAAGAGGACGTTAATAAAACCACCTCCAAGTCCCAAAAAAACAGAAGGACAAGTCGGCGGGGGGATGCTTCTGTGTGTCAGCTTTTAATGAAAAAGATGCATTTTCTTCTCCTGGTGGAACACAGGTATTCTCTTGAAGCAAACCAGATGCAACACGAGTGTAGTTGCTGCCAGGAGTACAGCAGCCAAACAAGAGAGGTGACCCTGACTTGCCAAAATGGAACAAGCATAAATTACAACTACGTCTACGTGGAACAATGCCAGTGTACAAATGCATGCACTTCAGAAACCTCTACAGCATACGACTCCCAACGGAAAATCAGAAGTAAGAGATGATCACTGGAACAAGCAAGCAGAGACTCTAAGGGAAGCTGAAATCATGTTTTCCCCAGAATAACCTGTGCTCCTTCTTTAACAGATCTTACGTCAGTTTCTGTTATTACCTTTTCTTATTTCTTACTTGTGAAAAAAAAAAATAAAAGTCAAACAATTAAATCTTAAGGGTTTTTTTTTTGTTTTTGTTTTTTTTTTTAAAGTGATACAATATTCAAGGGTAAAAAAAATATATGACTGTGTAAAATGCCTTTGTGTAAAGTATGGAAATATGCAAACATGGTTTCACTCGATCACAAAACTGATATTTTGGGAAAAAAGTTTCAGGGGTCTCTAAAAACCAAAGCCAGAAAACATTGCAGCTACATTACACTTAACTCTTGGGCCAAGAGAATGCTTCATTGCATATCATTTTTATGGACACCATGGTCCTAACAGCCATCACAGTGACAGGGAGAAGGCTATTTTCTTGTTCATCTTATTCCATCACTAAAACTTTCAGCATTTTTTTAATTTCGGTGACTGTTTGATACCCATCTTCATTATCTAAATGACTTTGTCTCCAGCAGCATCAGGGAGTTTTCTAACTCAGATGGGTATATTCTCTAGCAGTCTTTGGCAATGCAGACACTCTCAAAAGCCTCTTCCTGGATGAGGTTAAATTCCCTTACCCAGGTCTAAATAGCTCTGGTCACCGGCATAAAAGGTACAGAGATTAAAACACCCCTCTCCTTTGCTCACTGTATTCTAGTTGCCAAGATAACAGGCAGGCTACAGTTTGTCTTCCCTGTAATTAGTGGGGAGGTCCACAAGGCAAGTATAAAAAAAGAGAAGGGAAAACTTTGTTCACCAGTGCCATTTCATGTCCTAGATCAATGGGTATCTGGCTGTAGAAATCATCACTTGCTTCTTCAGCTGAAGAAACAAATCTATATATGAACAGAAGCTCTTATTAGTTGAATAATACTTAAGGTAAAGTCAATGAACTTAGTAAAAATCAGAAAATTCTCCTGCCCGTAATTTTAACAATATTCTCAGGTAAGTTCAGGATATGTTTTTAAACTGTGCATTTGTTTCCTATGCTACCTAAAAGATTTCAAATGGACTTACACTGGTGAGAAAATTGGCTGCCTTTTCCCACAGTAGTTCATGTTTACTTGACCTGTTGGGAGCATTTACCTTATCAGTAGATGTTATAATACAAAACCTGGCATCTGGCCCGAAGGCTTGGCTGAAAAGGAAAGGAGGAACTGTTTGATCAAATAATGCACGTTTTATACTGCTTATTTAGAACTGAAATTCAATCTCTGAATGAAATCAGTAGACACTTTTCTACTGGCCTTCACCAGCATGACCTGGTATCACGTTAGGATTAACCAGAGGGTAGTAAGCAGGTTTGTAAGTTTTTCCTGCTGGACACCGTTCATCTCTCAGGTATCCAGGGTTTGCCGGTCCCACGGCAGGTGTGCAGGCTCTGGGCAGTGTCACTGCCTCTGACCGGGGAGCTGTGCCACTCCCTGCACCCTCTCCGACCCAGTAACAAGCACCTTCCATTGGGAACCGGGGCTGAGTCCAGGCCAGCTGCGCACCACCAGTTTTACAGTTTCACCAGCACATCCTCAGACCCGAACAGCAGGTACTGCTGCGAGGAGACATCCCAAGAGTCCTGAACAGAGCCAGCCGTGGGGCGAGCAGTCTGACAGGCTCAGCACCTTTAGCATAGCACCACAAGAACAGATGCAGCCCAATGAGATCTGGAACTGTCCTGCAGTGAAAAAACAGGACCTAGAACTGTCCCACAGTGGGAAACCAGCCCTGCTGGCTGCAGAAGGGCTTCCTGAGGAGCATTCACATATGCCAGCCAGGTTAGGCCTGGCGTTGTAATACAGAGCTGGCAATATTAATCCAAGCTAGCCAAACTGATGCCTCAGAGCTGATAGGTCAGGGTGCAGAGCCAAAAACACAGTGACACTTATGTCACTTAAACATCTGTAAACACTTCTGAATTCAGCTTTGAGTTCAGACTGAGGGCAATAAATCTGTGTGCTTTTGCCCCTTCCTCCCTAACTCCCTACATTGAGTATTTAGTACCATGTTCACCAGTTACAAAGCTTCCCTAACATTTTCAGGGCTGCAGGTTTTCCCCAGCTATTGTAAGCACTGTACGAACATGTTAGCAGTACATTCCAGTTTAGGTCTTAAACTGCCCTCTAATGGTCATTATTCACTTCTCTAAAAACCAAACCAGGAACTATTCCCTTAATTCTGGAAACATTAAGCCTTGCACACCTTGTTCATCCATCGGAGATCAATTATACTAGCATGTAAACTTAGTTTTTTTTTATTTTTAATTGCCAAATTATGAAAGATTTCTCAAAGCTGAACATCACATTATTTCCATGTACCTGACTGACTACCTAGGAGTTTAATTTGAAGGTGCAATCGCAATCCTCAATGATCACGTTCTGTTATTGGAAAAAAAAAAAATTAGCATCATAATTCACCATTTAGGAGAGACAATCTGGATTAGTGCATTTTGGGGGGGTTGGGTTGTTTCGGTTTGGCTTTTTTTGCCTTGAAAACCAACCTACAGCAAAATGCTAGAAACCACTGAATCTTCTTAGTTCTCCTCAAAATACAGCTTGTTGGGGTTTTGTTTTTTTCTTAAGGGAAATCTATTTTTGTACCTTTTCTCTCTCAAGTCTATACAGAAGACAACCCAGGAGATTTGCACTTGAAGTAAACAGGATTCAGGAACAGACAAACATGTAGGTTTCTTTAAAGCAATTGCTAGAGGTTCCTTGGACTTGTAAATGTAGTATAGCATTTGCTTCAAAGCAGAGAAATTTGCTAAATAGGAAAACAGGAAGACATACATTTGTTTGATATACAAGGTTACCATTTATGTTAAAATATATCTAGCTATTTCGTACTATATCAAGCTCCTTAGAACTTGAAATAAAATGCATGTATGCCTTAGTTTTATAAAATTTCCAAATGGGTTATATGTACAATCATAGCAGCAAAATAACTGCAGTTATTGAACTACAGATTAAGAAATAATATTTAAACCAAGAAACTATAATATAAAATGAAACCCTGAGCTCTTTCCTGTCATTTCCATGGGGTATCAAGTTAATCAGAAAGTGCTGACTTTTCCTCCTATATTTACCATTATCAAATATACTGATGCTTCGTTAAAAATTACCATAGAACAGCATTCATCTGCATCAGGAAACAGAACACTCATTTTCCTATTCACTAACTAGGCAGTTACAGGGACAACTGCATCAGGGAATGTTACGTACTAATATGCATATACATAGTAAAACTACCCAGTTGGTGAATTTTATTGATGTGTTGGCATAATGCCTTTTAAACCAGTCTGTCAAGCATACTGAGAATCTTAAACAGCTCAATGAATAAAATGTCCCATTGTAAATAAAACCATTTACAGGTTTTATTACCTATGATCTAAATTGGGCAAATGTGAGGGTTATGCTGCTGTTCTGTAGAAGTCAGTGCATTTGTGGAACTGGAATACTTAACCACAAAGAAATTTGTTAAGTTTTAAATTAATATCTATGATATATAGCTAGAGCACATCAGTTGGAAGACAGAATTTAGTATCACTGAACAAACTAAATTGGGTATCTGTACAACATTCATATCCAGGGCCCTCTTCCTCCCAACTCAAGTTAATGCCCTGTGCTTGCTCTAGGTTTTCCAAAACAGAAAATACCAGCAACATTCAATCAGGTGGAGGACTGGAAAACAGTCAAATAGACTAGAAGTCATTTGAAAGATTAGATTAAACCAATTACCCTGTAAATTGGGAAACAATAATTCTGAATTATTCTTGTTAATAAAGAACAGTAGATCCCTATTTATCAAACTTTCCCAAGTCTTAGCCATATTTTGAAAAATCTGTGTGATATAGAAATACCAAACAAGATAAATACTTATCCTTTTACACCAACATCTCCTTCCTCCTCACCTTTCAGTGTAACTTTTCCTGTTTACTCTTCTTTTGAAACACCACCTCCAGGCAGTGATTTAAGGAGCTATTTTGTTGATTTTGGCTTCTGACTCACTCACCTCCCTTGCCTCCCTTCCTCTATTGATATTTGATAGCACTTCCCATGTTTTTAATGCAGTAACTTCATGTCTAAGGAGTTTGATGCATTCATTGATGTCACTTGTCTCCCAACACAGAGTTTCTGCACTGTTCATTTTGCCACTACACATAACACAATTCCATCTGTCGAGAGAGCAGAGATTCTATTCTCTAAGAGGCAACATGCTTCCTGGCAATGAGTTATACCAGAACATTCTCGTAGATACTGTTATATCTCCTGTCTTCATACTTCCATTTCCTGAACCTCGATTATGCTGCCAATAGGAGGATAAGTCACTGATTTGGCATATTTGGCTCCCCAAATACTGCGCCAGTAGCTAACAGAAGTATATAAAAGTTCACTTACTGTAATCCTTAAAACAGGGAGGTTTGTGCAGCGGGGCTTGCCTTATACATGAGTATCATACAGAGCCCTGACATTTTCATGATTTTGGTGATCTAAACTTTATAAGGACTGGGCTACAAACTAAAGAATACCTTCTTTCTACACAGACTCAGGACGGACAATTAAAGACATGGTATGCTGGTGTTCTTTAAGTGACAAATCATTTATTGTTGTTACAAAAAAATCACAGATACGCTTGCTTGGAATCTAAAAATTAAGATTTGCAGACCTTGAATCCATTTTTACTTACTCCTCTTTCTAAAGCCTCTGCATGTTTCTCTCCAGAAAAGAAAAAGATTCTTAACTGGATTTTGCCTCCCGTAGAAAAGCACTGAAAATTTCTTTTGCATAAGCTTCCTTCACCCCATCCATGCCTTTTTATTTAAAATATAAAAGTGATAATCAAAGAAACAAAAATGCTGTGTTCTAACATCTAGTATCACAGCAGCTTTGTCGCTGTTTATGCAGATAGCCACAACACAGCCCTTATGGTCAAGCTGTACTGTACCACACTACTAAAGTAATTAAGCTCCCCTGATTTGTCCAGTTGCTTTCACTGTTTTGTTCTTTCCCCCCACTGAAGACAGTAGTAACAGATCACCTTCAATGTAAAAATATTCAGATTAGCTCAATGGGCTGGGCCATGTCTGAGGTGTATTTTAGCACTTCTGCTACATTTCAATAGTGAAAACACAGATCGTGTTAAATTCTTTTGAAACATTCACTCAACATGAAGGCCGAGTCCTGGTTCTTGGGTAACAAGGCTCTGTGTCACACGAATTCAAGTCCTGAAGTATGTCAGAAAGTACTTAGCCACTTCTGGCTTCCATGCTGTGTGAACATGCTGAAACCCTGAAACACATGAATCATCCTTCCATTGCTTTTAAAAAGAAATGTGCTCCAGAGAGGTTGTCAGGTTTCTTTTAGCAACTGTTTTAATGGAAATATTTAAATTTATCATTTAGAAGCATTCCCATAACACTCCATGTCATAAAAGAAAAATCAGCAGCATGATGCCAAAAGACGTGGTAAGGGTTTCTTATTCAGACATCCACATTTTGGTAGTTTCAAGTGAATTTTTTCACATGGACAAAAACAGCACTTGAAAATGTATTATTTAGGATGAAAAGGGAAAGAGTTCTCAATCCTCCTGCTACAGGCCATATGCTGATTTTTAATTTGAGCTAAAAAAAAATAAAATCTCCTTTCACAGCTTCTTCTTGCCAGTACTAGATAAAAATCCAAGCAAGTACCTTGGAGGGTTATTTCAGCGCAACAATCTCAGTATGAGTTTCTGCCAGCAGCAGCACACAGGTTATTCCTGTTAGGTCTTGGATCGAACTGAAACATCCAAATTAATATATATTATAGCTTTATGTATGTGGTCAATTAACAACCAAGAAAATGAAGAGTTGATTAATAAAAGACATCCAAGAAATATAACAATCATGTTATATTTTCTGTTGTATGTTATGGTCTCACACTCCAGTTCTTACTGTGTGACCTGTAATGAAACAGAGCCCAATCTAAACCATTGAATTCAGTGAAAAAATTCCTGCTGACATCAGGAGGCTTTGAATCAAGCCTCGCATTATGGAAAAAGGCAGATAATGGAGTTTAAATTATGTTAAGTACCTCATGAAACCACAGGCTTATTCTTATGACTGTAACAAATTTGCTAGTCACTTGTTATGAGAAAGTTTCTCTTTAAACACTTCTCACACTTGTCAGAAGCGTCACCAATGGCAATTCATTTCCCACCTGCTGATACCTCTCTTGACAAGAGAAGGTTCCAGCACATATTACAGAACACAGAAACCTGACCGTTTCCCTCCTCTCTCCAACTAGGCTAAGCATGTTTTTTCAAGAGAACTGGAAACACTACTTGCCCCATACTACAAGATGCAAAAGCATTCATGGAGAACATCAGTGCTGTGAGACAGCCCACTCTTGGTATTGTACCTAGGAGCAAGGTAACATGAAACAGGCCATGAGAAATCCGTTGCCCACTGTGTGCACAGACAGTGTAACAACTCAAAATGGGGGACACTGTGTAAGAACATAAGCTGTACATGAACCTTCCCTTTCTAATCAACTACAAATTTTAATGGTATTCAATAAAATTCAAATTTACACTTTGGAAAAAACTCAGTAGTCATTTTCTTCATAAGATTTAGGATATTTTGGATGAAGAAAATTATTACTGAAAGAAACCTAAACATTTTAACCACCATTACAGAAAACACTTGAAGTGAAAGACAAAAATTAGCACTCCCCACACCGCCCAGGTGAAGAGTTTCTCCATGTTTTCTAATACCATCTGTAAGTTAATGAGTTTCAAACTTACTACAAAATTCTATGCCATTCCATGGCATCCCCCCCCCACTATGTGAACTTCTATAATTACCGATTCATTTTTAAAATAGCATTAAGCATTTCAAATCAACCTGAATACACTGCATTGAACTGATTACTATTACAGAAATTATGCATTTAAGGTGGAAAAACATCATCATGTGACACAGTGCCAAGCTTGTGTTTCTAATCCATAAAGAAACATGGACAGCACAGACATGGAAGTGCTGTGTACCTTTTTTATAATTGAAGATATTTTTTAAAAAAATTGGATCATCTTTCATTTTCTCCTCATGATAAATGCATTAAAATGATAAAGATTATCCATTTGTATCCAGCCTGCTCCACATTCCAGATTAGCACACTTAACATTTTAAAAATATGTTCTAAGTGAATTCTTTGAATACTCCAAACAGCAGTACTTTTATAGTTCCCCTACACATGGAAATACAGATCTAGCTAAGATGAATTTCAACCTACTTGCTTTCCACAAATTCACTTTTCCCGTCTATATGCAAATTTAACTTCAAAAGTTATGGTATACCTTAAGTATAGTTTATTTCTTCTTACAAAATTAATGATGCTTTTTGGCAAGATAGTAAAGAAAATCCTTCTAAAATATACTGCAGTATGGAAATAGATCAACTCGGGTTTCTAAACAATCTTCCTGAAGATCTAGGAGAGAAATTTGAAGTCTTCAGCAGGCTAGAGCTTAAAATTGCAGCAGAGAAGATTGTGAATATGGGTTTTCAGTTTTCCTACTTAAAGAAAATATGTATTTGCATTTCTTCCTAGAGACCCTGCTCTCATTGATATACTTAAATATTTTAATAATCCAAAACACACTGACCTCTCTTTACACCCCCACACATCATCACTCATTGATTAGCATTGAAATGGAAAAAGCCAATAAACATTAAAGTACTAAATAAACGCTTTAGCAGCCACATTTGCTTAAGTAAATCAATTCTCACTTATCTCTCACAGTACACTGGAGAAATGTGAAAGCAAACTATAAGCATTAGAACATGAATAGAGATAGAAACTGACACTCAAGGGCCAGAAGAAACCACAATCTGAACATAATTTCATCTCATAGTAGGTACTAAGTACCTTAAGGAAATAAATCAAAGGAAATTCAGTTGTGAAACATTCCTCTCAACTATCATTTGCTAAAAAAAATAAACTCCCAAAAAAAACCACACTATGAACTGGACAGTAAACCCAAAAATGTTAGCTTGATAATATACTAAAAGTACAGACTAGCAACTGATTAATAATCCTGAGCACAGCAATGCTGTTAAATGAGAAAGACGACCTCAGATAGCATCTCTCTAATTCTATGATTGACTGCAAAGCTACATAAGCTAAACCTTTAAAATTCATTAATATTAGCAGATACAGCCAGCTTTTATCGTAGCTAAAATAGCACATAAAATCCATTTCATAACTTTTCCTTTCACGCCGCAGAGCATTTCCTCCACACCCACACTGTTCTGTCCTCCTCCCTTGTCCTGCGAACACTGGAACCTCACTATTGCCTCATTCTGTCCTCTAGACCTGCAGTACTACATTTTCTTGAGAAAGTAGCACCAAGAAGAGTTAGAAAAAGGCATCTACCTAGGTGATGAATGCTTAAAATCCATTTGAGTGCTTACTGTACTCAGTCCCACCAGATGATCACGTTAAGAACCAGTGTAACTTGTTAATTAATGTGCAAAACTGAACAGAAGACAGTAACTGATACTCGAATTCTAAGTCTGTCTATAGACTTAGACAAAGACTGAAACTGTGTGTTCTCCAATAGAGACATAATACACTTTCATTTAGATGATACATTTATTAAATTTGAATGATAAAAATTAATGTACTTTAGAGTGCAAGAAACACATTTAGACACTGGACCTCAATACAGAGAAACAACGTCTTCAGAATTATTACAGCAAAAACATCCTCTGTACGGTATTACATATCAACCAAACAAGCAGTACATTTGTAAGGGAAAAAACATTCAGTACCATCAGCAGATGCAAAGAGCAGTAGAGAAGAAAGTAGCAAGGATCTAGCTAGACAAAAAATGTTCCTACCTTTAGCAAATTTAGGCTCTTGGCAGGACTCAAACTAGTACTAAGAGCACTAACTTTTAGCAGATGCCAGTCTTATACAGCTGGCTTTGGCTCCAAGCTGCTTGAAGCTGTTGAGCAAAAGAGCAGCATCAAACACAGTATTATCCCGTTAGCATTTTGTCAAAAGCTACAATCATAATGAGTGACAATTTATTTGTTTTAAATCAATAAACAGACTTTCAGTTCCCATATCTTAATTTCACAGACCCTAGAACAATTAAACACTCCCTGCCTTTTCTCATCTCTCTTCAATTCAAACCAGACAACGAACAGTTTGACTGAGAGGGTATGTATGCTGAAAAGCTGAGTAGGCCTATGATCATTGTTTTGTTCTTTTTAACAAAAAGTAGCACATCATGACATAAAGAGTTTCAGCTACAGTGCTTAATTAAACCAAGACAAAAAAAAAAAAAATCACCTGAAAAATATTTAAGTATAGTGTAACATGCTGAAATCCATTTACTGGCCATACTGCTCCTACATACACCATCTTCAACTCTTACCTTGTTTTGCATAACATTTGCCTAGAGCAAAACAAACAAAAGAATTCTAAGAACAGGAGCCTCCCTCAGAGACCCAGAGCCTAGTTTATGACTAAACCTGGCTAATTAAGACCCACACTTACCCCTCCTGGTGGTTAGGATTGAAAGGTGTTTATGCTGTGCTTGAAATTGAGCTGTAACAGGACGCAGTACAATTTACCAGCCATTAAGTTGAACCATGACCACTTGCTTTTATAAAAAGCTGTATTATGGATCCCAACGTTTTAATATAAAAATTTAAATATATACATTTTCCCTGAATTGTTCATCCCTTAGCAATTCATGCCATCTGTGTAAAAGTTAGAGCAAGGGATTCTTCCTGGAGATACCTAAGCATTAAATCCTTACCAAGATTTATCCTTTTGGGTAACAATGTCACAAATCACTGTGCTGTAAAGACAAAATGTCTCTAACAATCTACTCAGTCACAAAATTTACCACGATTGTAGGGAAGGGGCAAGACCAGTTTCTTGAAGAACACCCGTTTTATTTCAGAAATTAAAAATGTGGTGACTCTACAACTAAAGCACACGGAAACTACAGCCTTGAATTTCGTTACTGAAAAGCCAGTTGGAGAATGTGTAAAGACACTTAACACTTTCAACAGTAAATTTAAGATGGTAAGGGATTCATAACAAAACTTAAAATTGTACATCATGAAGAGACAGCTTTAAAAAGTCAGAAACTGGGATGATTTTTGGTACTGTATTTTAAAAGTTTCAGTATCACTTTTAATCATAAAAAAAAAAAAATTCTTGTTCTACTGCCAGTGCTACCTAAAGGCTTCTTGAATGCAGGTGGGAGGAAAAAAATAGAACCAACTTTTCAGCAGATAAAATATTTTAAGCATGTGACATGAAACAAAAGTATAGGGGAGGAAGAGTATACAGGTTCCTTTTCCCCATTCTAAACCTGGCTTTAATGTTCTCATGAATCACTCAAGAGCCTAGATTTCAAGTGTACATTCATTCCAACTCTTGAAAATATAAAGGTCTATGGCTATTGTAGAAAGTGTTTGAAATCAAACATTAAAAAAAAAAGATAAAACAGCAACATTGCACATCACTGGAAAAATAAACTGGTACATACTATTTAAAGTGCATTACTTTATCATCTACAAAAACAAACACTACAGAAATTTATCCAACAGCTGTAACTGGTGCATACTTGTAAGATTCTACAGCTCCAAAATGAACTGTTATCTGAAAAAATAACACTAACAATAAATACAAACAATCTCCAACCTCCTCTGAGGATCAGACTATAACTCAGATATGTTAAATTTTCTATACAAGAATTTATTTCCATCTGCATCTAATAGTAAATTGACTGCAGCAACCGTAGTCTAACAAGTCAATGAGCAACTCATAATGCCATTCAAAGATTCTAAAGCTACTTTTCAAGCTTGTTATATCAGATGACAAGAAAAAATACAATAGTTTTTCCACTAATATAGAATAACTTGCTGAAATATAGGTGTAAAGAAGGAAGCCTTATAACCAGATCAGAGATTTCTGCTTTTTTAATGTAAGACAACACCTTAAATAATTGTTTACAGCTTCAGTAACTTTCCAGGTACAAAAATCTTTTCTTCTGCACTTATCCTTTGAAATAGCCATGGGAATGCAGAAGTAGTTAGAGTGCAATTAATTGTGGGAGTACATTAGGGCTCAGTCCTGTTCTCTGCTACAGCAATACATA